TTTTCCATAGCCTGAAATTAAAACAACAACTAGATATGTAAAAAATATATAATGGGGAGCAAAGAAATGTATATTTTTTTTTCAAGTTTGAATTGTTCAGTTTAATCTGGTGTTTTCATTACAGAGAATCAGGTGTATGATATATAAATGAAAGTTCTGTCATACAGTGTAATATTGACTGCTGGTAATACTCTCTGATATGACTCACCTTCAAGGACGTAAAACATCTTTGAAGCAATATTATCTTACATTTTAATGTAGGAGAAAATGACTTAACTCTAAGCGCTTGCACAATTGGTTACCTCAACAAGTTCAGACAGACGGATAAATCAATATGTTAATATATACATGTATTATTTTCACCATTTTATAAAATCGTTGATGAATTTTTTACCTATAAGGCTGATGCGTAAGATAGTTCTATTTGATAGCATGTCTTTGAGGATACAGTAAGCTTCCTATGCCAATAGTCTTGCCAGACTCTATTTTAATGGTTAACAGTTTTTATATCTTGACCTTTTGTGAATAACTAAAAGTTATTAGTAGCCTGCTCAAAATCAAGGCAAGGTTATAATACCTTTATACTGTTGCCGGACAAATTCAGCCATGCCAATTCTGCCAATTCTCTTACACCTACAGATAAAAGAAAATAAACTTATGACAAGAATTCTGATTTCATACACAAAAACTTAATATAGTCAATAAATAAATAAATATAAACATGATAATGTAACAAACGATAATCAAGTTACTTCACAAACAAAAATATGTAATGCAATATATTTAGGTTTGTTCCTTTATCAGAGTGTAATTATTACATAATGCATGCATACAGAAAATAAATGTCTAGTTTACAGACTACATCTGGTATCAACTGTGGGTTTATATTTGAATATTTGATAACACAGTTCAGTAGAAGTAAATTGAATATGCATCATTTTGCTGTTTTTATAACATTTCTGATGTTAAAATAGTTCATGTTAATCAATGGGCACTGTTATTATTGTTTCTGTAGCATTATTTCCTATTAGTTAGTGTTTCCACTGTGAGAAATAATTCAGGTGTTATTAAAGCTGAAATTTTCAGCTGTATAAGACTGATGTACTTAAAGGCAGGTTTTAATTAACGTCTGGTTTACAAACACTGTGATGTAATTAATTCAACAGGTAGACATAGATAGACATCGATAAATGAGACAAATATATCCCTACACAACTCTCTAGATAAGTTATTTAATCAGCTTTAACATTCATATATATGTAATCCTACATGTGCATTGTCTTTTTATACCATATGTGTAATGCACATTGTCTACTGAACTACTACTTTCTGTTAAAATAGAACTATCACTAAATGTGATTAATACCCCCACAAGACTGCTTCGGAAATGAGGATGTTACTAGTAACAGAATACCTTGTAAAAGAATTGAAATATAGAGTTATGGTTGTGGGCAATTAAAGATAGTTGTGGTTCTTGTATGTTGCATTTCCTTTCAATGTGGTTGGCCATTGATGAAGTTTAATTGAATTACTCTGTAATAAGTCCAGAATGACAAAGAAAAGAATCAAAGGGCAATACCTCTATAAAAACTGAAGATAGAGTTATAGTTCTTGTGCACTGCACTTCCTCTTATTGTGCTTGACCATTGTATGAAGTTGTTTTGAATTCCAACCAGTACGTTTTAAGTTATGCTCCGGACAAGGAAAAGTATCAAAGGGCAGTAACTCTGTATTTTGTCAAAATGGAGTTATGGCTCTTGTGCACTGCACTTCCTTTTAATGTCCTTGACAACTGTATGAAGTTGTATTGAATTCCAAACAGTAGTTTTCAAGTTATGCTCTGGACAAGGAAAAGTAACAAAGGGCAATAACTCTGTAATTAGTCAAGATGGAGTTATGGTTCTTGTGCACTGCACTTTCTCTCAATGTGCTTGACCATTGTATGAAGTTATATTGAATTCCAACCAGTAGTTTTCATGTCATGCTCTGGACAAGGAAAAGTAACAAAGGGCAGTAACTCTGTAATAAGTCAAGATGGAGTTATGGTTCTTGTGCACTGCACTTCCTCTCAATGTGCTTGACCATTGTATGAAGTTATAATGAATTCCAACAATTAGTCTTCAAGTTATGGTCCGGACAAAAGAAAGCAATGGAAAAGTAACAAAGGGCAATAACTCTGTAATTACTTTAGATAGAGTTATGGTTCTTGTGCACTGCACTTCCCCTTATTGTGTTTGACAATTGTATGAAGTTGTTTTAAATTCCAACCAGTAGTTTTCAAGTTATGCCCCAGACAAGGAAAAGTAACAAAGGGCAATAACTCTGTAATTAGTCAAGATAGAGTTATGGTTCTTATGCACTGCACTTCCTCTTAATGTGCTTGACCATTGTATGTAGTTATATTGAATTCCAACCATTAGTCTTCAAGTTATGGTCCAGACAAAAAAAAAGCAATGGAAAAGCAACAAAGGGCAATAACTCTGTTATTACTTTAGATAGAGTTATGGTTCTTGTGCACTGCACTTCCCCTTATTGTGTTTGACCATTGTATAAGTTGTTTTGAATTCCAACCAGTAGTTTTCAAGTTATGCCCCGGACAAGGAAAAGTAACAAAGGGCAATAACTCTGTAATTAGTCAAGATAGAGTTATGGTTCTTGTGCACTGCACTTCCTCTCAATGTGCTTGACCATTGTATGAAGTTATAATGAATTCCAACAATTAGTCTTCAAGTTATGGTCTGGACAAAAGAAAGCAATGGAAAAGTAACAAAGGGCAATAACTCTGTAATTTCTTTAGATAGAGTTATGGTTCTTGTGCACTGCACTTCCCCTTATTGTGTTTGACAATTGTATGAAGTTGTTTTGAATTCCAACCAGTAGTTTTCAAGTTATGCCCCGGACAAGGAAAAGTAACAAAGGACAATAACTCTGTAATTAGTCAAGATACAGTTATGGTTCTTATGCACTGAACTTCCTCTCAATGTGCTTGACCATTGTATGTAGTTATATTGAATTCCAACCATTAGTCTTCAAGTTATGCTCCGGACAAGGAAAATGCAACGGACGTCTGGACCGACCGACCGACCACCGGGTGACTCCTATATACCCCCCCCCCCCCCAAACTTCGTTTTGGGGGGTATAATAAAGAAATTAAATACAATGTACAATGTATTCAATCAACTTCCCTATATAGATAATAAATATTTGCCAATAAAAAGTACAGCCTTTTACAACTTTTACCTGTTTCAGGATTAAACTGAAAATTTTGGCATATTATAACTTCAACCTATATTTGAATAGCATATAAAATGTCTTTAGTGTTTTTGCAATATCTGTAATTGTTATAATTGTTGTTATTGACCAAATAAGGAGATAGTTTACGCGGCAGACAAAAGATTCAGCTGTGGATAACAAGGTCAAGGAGCATTATGAAAATTACCATGTACTCCTGAAATAATGGAAATAACTAAGCATCCAAAGGCTGTTCTGTGTTTAGGTTACCATGAGCAAGGAAATTTCTCCTTTTTAAAACGGTCTTAGCCTATTTTCTTTTGTTGAATATTTTGGAATATAAACATCCAACAGATTATTGCTATAAAAAAAAAAATGTTTTAATCTTCTTTACTGCACCTTACTACTATGTTTACATTCAGCACTTATTCTTCTGAAGTTTCATTCATAACTCTTACCCAATGTTTAAATTTTGAAATCTGCTACTTACCATCATATTCTATCCTGTAAATCTAGTATTAAGGTTAACAAATTAAGAAATAGTAGCCTTCACACTTTAATATTTGCTTGTACACATAGGTTTTACTTATTTTATAGGTTTTGTTTTTCTAAATCCTACCATCTGTTGAGGCCTTAAACCATAGCTTCTTCTGATGGACTATTATAATGTTCAGAACAAGCCGTTTCAAAACATATAGATCTGAATTACAACAGCACGTCTACATTGGAATATAGGTCCTTGCCCTGATTTGCATTCTTGACCAATATTTCAGACCATTTAATTCATACAATACACAATCTTTGACAACTTATTTTAATACATGTAGTTTTCATGATAATCTGCCATCTTGGAAGCCATCTCGTCTTCTCAGAATTGCTATAGGTTAACAGACAGAATCAACCAGTTATCATAATATTATATCAACCATATTGTCTTTCAAAAACACTAAAAACATTTACTATGCTATATGAAATCAAGGTCAGGTTATGTTTCCACTAGACTGTAATATGTACAGGTATATTTTTGTGGAACAGATCACACAGATTTTTTTATTGTTGATATGAAGTTCAAAGAGAATACATATTTCTCCTTATATTTCATGACAAAACATTTCAAATATTGATGAAGCCAGTATGTCATCATATTACATACATTCTGTACAGTAACAACATATGGTGATAAAGTTATACAACTAATAAGACAATGCACTGGTAATAGTATAAAACAATAAAAACCTATATCAGTCTGTATGTATAACTTCAAAGAAGAATCAATAAGTCCTTGCTTCTCAATTTTCAGTGCATGTAAACTTACCATATATCTTTAACTTTTAATATAATATAGTTTTCATGAATGAAGTTCAAGAGTCAGACTTTCATTCTTCAATTATCAAATTGAAATATGATCTAACAAAATGGGTAAGACTTCTCCACTTTTACGAATAAGACATGTGACATACCTTCTATTGCGATGATACTGTTCTGTGGTAAGTTCAGCACTGTAAGATGTCTCAATCTATTCACACCATTCAAATGTACAAGACGATTACTCTTCAATGATAACTGAAATATTCAATAAGAGATAACTCTTCAATGATAACTGAAATATTCAATATAACTCTTCATTGATAACTGAAATATTTAATATGAGATTACATTTCACTGATAACTGAAATATTCAATATGAGATTACTCTTCAATGATAACTGAAATATTCAATATAACTCTTCAATGATAACTGAAATATTCAATATGAGATAACTCTTCAATGATAACTGAAATATTCAATATAACTCTTCAATGATAACTGAAATATTCAATATGAGATTACTCTTCAATGATAACTGAAATATTTAATATGAGATTACTCTTCAATGATAACTGAAATATTCAATATGAGAACTCTTCAATGATAACTGAAATATTCAATATAACTCTTCAATGATAACTGAAATATTCAATATGAGATTATACTTCAAAGATAACTGAAATATTCAATATAACTCTTCAATGATAACTGAAATATTCAATATAACTCTTCAATGATAACTGAAATATTCAATATGAGATTATACTTCAATGATAACTGAAGTATTCAATATAACTCTTCAATGATAACTGAAATATTCAATATGAGATTATACTTCAAAGATAACTGAAATATTCAATATAACTCTTCAATGATAACTGAAATATTCAACATTACTCTTCACTGATAACTGAAATATCCAATATGAGATTATACTTCAAAGATAACTGAAATATTCAATATAACTCTTCAATGATAACTGAAATATTCAATATAACTCTTCAATGATAACTGAAATATTCAATATAACTCTTCAATGATAACTGAAGTATTCAATATGAGATTATACTTCAATGATAACTGAAATATTCAATATAACTCTTCAATGACAACTGAAATATTCAATAAACTCTTCAATGATAACTGGATTATTCTATATAACTCTTCAATGATAACTGAAATATTCAATGTAACTCTTCAATGATAACTGAAATATTCAATACGAGATTACACTTCATTGTTAACTGAAATATTCAATATAAGTCTTCAATGATAACTGAAATATTCAATACGAGATTACACTTCATTGATAACTGAAATATTCAATATAACTCTTCAATGATAACTGAAATATTCAATATGAGATTATACTTCAATGATAACTGAAATATTCAATATGAGAAGATAAATGAAATATTCAATATGAAGTTATTTGGCATAATATTAAACAAGAGGGCTATTATGGCCTTCAATCGCTCACCAGAAACAACTTTTTTTCAGTGTTAGAAATAATTTTTCAAATGAACTTGCCCAAAGGCAAGCGTCCAGCTCAACTACAACTTGCCCCTCTAGTTATATAGTTTCACAACACTGATTGTTTTGTTTTGTTTTCCTGATAATAAAAAAGGAACCTTCCACAAATGATCATTGTTACTGTTACAGGCAAGTACAGCATGTCAACTAACGCTTTTCAATTTCCTTTCCATACTGGAGCCTTTTCATAAAAGACTACCTAAGAATGCTACAAAGCATTAATGAATTAGTTCAGGAGAAGAAGACATTTAAAGGTGTTTCTATTTTTAGCTTTAAGCGGCCCCTAAAAGTGACCAATCAAATTAATAAAGACTACCTAAGAATGCTACAGACAAAGTTTGTTGATCATCCATTAATTAGTTCAGTTTAGCTCTGTTGACCTGTTAAAGACGCCAATTGAAATTGTATGAGCAAATTTAAGTGTGACTGTCACAAGGATGCTACAGACCAAATTTGAAGTAAATCTGCCCAGCAGTTTCAGAGAAGAAGATTAATGTTGACGCATGACAACGGACACCGGAGCATCTCCCCTTTGATACTAATTGCTCACCCTGAACCTTCTGTTTTAGGATACTTTAAAATACAGAAATGTTGGATTAATTTGAATAAAACAACTTTGTTTTATCGATTTGAACTTCTTGTAGTAACCCTTACAGAAAACACAATGTCTCCTTTTCATGTATTGTACTTTTGTAGAAGTACAATTTGGTTCATATTTCAAAAACTAACATTTCTCAAAAACCAATACATCCATATAAAAAAGCCCAAAGGACAGGAAATTAGTGCCAAGCGTGCATAATTGAGATTTCTATTCAATTACATATACAAGCATTATTCATGGAAAATTGCAGGTGCCAGTTTTAACGTGACAAGCTATAACTGTCAGTAATTGTAATCAAACATCCGTCTGCTGTAAGATACCTGCCTCTCTCTCAACTAGAAATTGTTTCAAGTTTGTCCTTGTATCTAGATTATATCGTGAGATAACAAACAGGGAAAATTACATTCTCTACTTAAATAATCATTTTTAACTATTTCATTGAGAAAAACATTGTGCTTTTAATTTAGTCTTGTGTTTTTACGTTTTACATTTAATTGAAATTCAATCGTAATTGCATTTGAAAATAATCAACCTTCAAACAATTCAATTAAATTGATTAACTTTTTTTCTGTCACAGCCTTTTTTCTTCTTATTTTTTTAAATTTTGGTAAGTTTGGTTCTGGTCAAATTGGGGAAATGATGCCAAAACTGGGATTTTTTTCTTTAAAGTAAACACAATTATTTTTTTGTTTTATCTGTCTTTTTATTACAGATCAATGTCTCTTTTTATTGTTCCTTTATGCTTATTAATATCTTCCATTGGTTCATTCTAAATTTTAATTGAATATTTTTCAGGTATTCATTTCTCACTTTGATACCTCAAGCTTATTGATTTTTGAAAATTTTGGTTTGATACTGGGAAAAAATGTCTCCTTTTTGTCTTGTGTATTTGATAATTATATGCATAATGCGGCAATTTTGGCCAAAGTGAATCTATGAATAAATACAATACTGGGCATATAAGCTCAACCTATAATGTGACACTTTCATACACCAGTGTTGATGTTCAAGAAAACAAAGTGTCAATGTAATTACATTCATGATATATGACCAATATTATCTGTCAGGGCTTTTCTCCAAGGGGCAATTTAAGGCTGGCTTACACCCAGCAAAATCATTTCAAGTCATGCAGTTTTACAAAAAAATCAAATTACATCAAGTTTTAATCTTCCCCCTTTGCATAAAATACTGTGTTATTTTCCCCAATTTAAAGAGAAAGACTCCTTTGCCTACATGACATCTTAAATTGCTTCTTTTAGGTAGTCACGATGTTTCCTTTTATTAGTATGATGGAGTTTTATCACTTAAACGTGTTGTTCTAATGATTTATGTATTTATATATGTATATATATATATTTATATTCTAATATTGTGATATTTTTTCATCTCTTATAACTCCATGCTGGAGTGGCATTGTACTTTTATGCTGTAATTTTTTTTAACATTGTGTATATGTCTGTACAATGATGAGATGTAAATAAAGATTACTACATTTGACTGTAAAAGTTGTCACAAATAAGATAATTAAACAGTAGCTGGTGACAAGCAGCCTAACACTAGGGATCTCCTGACCAAGATAACCAAAACTCTCTTTTAATATAATGTATGACAAACAGGACATACAGACAATGGTGTATGTCATGTATTTTTTCCTGTCTAGAAAAAGATGCTGTAAGAAATGTTAACAATAGGAATCAATGGCTCTCCTAAATTGTCTATAAAATGTACATGATCTTGTGACCTACATACAAGAACCAGGTCTATAAATGTAATTGTTTTGATAATTACAGAAGGTAATTAAACAACTTCAAACACCTGCCTAGACATTATACAGAACAATAAGACCTGCAATAATCAATAAATACAACTGTCCTTAAATCATGCTGTACAACAGTTACTTAATGTGTGCAAGAACAAAAGGATTCCCATTAAAATAAGAATTAAATAATGTAAATGAAAATGATATACAATTTACTTTTTCAGACAATTACCATACTTTATACAGTTAAAATTGAAACATTTCATTCTAACTACTTCAGTAATATATATATAAATCTAAAACCAACATGGTTTCTTGTCAACATCAATCTTAACAGAAACTTCTTGCATTCCTATTCAGCAAACTCCAAAAGCGTATTAAGCTGCAAATTATCATGTAACTTATCATGTAATGGTAATGCAGAGGGTCACAAGTAACTTCAGTTCCCTTTATTTCTATCAGATTTATGTTTACAGGTATAAGTATCAAGTATTGACTCACCTGTTTAAGCTGTGGGCACTGATCTAGGTTCTCTATACGAGTGATACTGTTTCTGTCTGCTATAAGTGCTGTAGGGCTCTCACCCAGGGGGATCTCTAGTTTAGTCAGACCTCGGTCAGACAGGTCTAATAAAGTGCCCTCCATCTCTGTCAACAAATTATACAAATATTTAATAACAACTCAATTATATGTTAGCAAAGCTATTAATGTATCAAAATAGATCACTGTCAACTAGACAAAAATGTTTTTTGTTTTTTGTTTTTTTTTAGACAAAAATGTTGTTTTTATACAAACCGTAGTTTAAACTAGGTCCATTGTAACAAAGTCATGTGAACTTAAATGTACCAGTTGATGTGAATTTTTATATAGTTACATAGTAATACCAGTCCATGTAAATTTTTACATAGTTATACATGCATAGTAATTTATCATTACAATGTATTTGTTTTATGTTTTAGTTCTGTAAATATTCAAACTGAGATTTATAGTATAGTATTATGTTCCATTTCAGACAATAAAATTCAGGATTTAGCAAGAAAATATTTAATGTTTTGATGAACTCAGTACTGGTGAGACTTTGGGGGTGATACATTTATTACAGAATTATCTTGTAATAATATCTTATGGGAATAAAAAATAAAAATAGCAACACACAGGAAAGTTTAAATAACTGATGTCAGCTAAAAGCCCAAAACACAATTTTAACATAGTCATCTTTTAAATTTTTCAATTAATTACTTGTTCAAACAAGGTATGTACTAAAGAATTAGAATAATTTAAAATTTGGAATAAAACCAGCAGTCATGCCCTCTATAATGTATGATATGGCACTTTAGTTATGGGGGAGTGAGACATGAATGGGTTATATAGGAAAATCTTTGTCTATAATAAGGTAAATAATTCAGCTTAATTATACACATTTTTTGGCAACAGATGAAAGACATTGTATTGATGAAATATAGTCAAAGGAATTTTCACGACAATGTAGTTTAGTTATGAAAGAATGACTGTCCCAGAAAATTATGAGCAAGTTAGAACATATATGATATAATGACTGGGAAAGTTTTATCATGTTTCAATAGCATCACATAAATTTGAGTAAAATTATTTTAATAGAGGATACATTAATTTTATATGCATTTGTATCAATACATTTGGTAATGATTCTCTTTCAATCTTACAGCTGTATAGTATATTCTAAATAGTTGATACTGGAATAAAAAAAAAGAGATTAAGTCCATAAAATAAACTGGTGGAAAAGGGGGCATAATATGCCCAAATCCATAACAGAGTTATATATTCTTGGTGAAGGTCATTAATAAAATAATTCCAGATTACAGGTTGTTCATTTCAAAGCAATATATAACAAAAGCATTGCATGCAATATCAGTGCTTATCTGTAAAGGGCATGGACCATCAATAACCAATTTTAACAAAAATACTAAGTTAGAAAGGGGCATAACTCTGAAAATATAGCTTTCAAAATGATGCCCATTGTTTAACAAATAGATTTTTTTGAGGGTGTGGGTTGGGTTTTACATCACACCAATACAGGATATGTCATATGGGGACTTTCCAGCTTTTCTGGTGGAGGAAGACCTCAGGTGCCGCTCTGTACATTATTTATGGCACAAACAGGCCCTTGAGTAGAACCACTGATGATCTGTAAGCTAGCTTGATACATATAACTTTCAGTGGTAAATAGATTGGCGAAGCCTGACTCTGATATGGATTCTAAAAGTAAGGCATATTTTAGTAGGATAACTCTCTCTATTCTTTTATAGTTATGATAAAGATAAATAAAAGTTTGTTGCAACAGATGTCCTGATTCATGGCAACACAAAGGCAACAAAACATCATAATGCTTTTTGTCAGAAATAAAGGTAACCAAGTAAAACTGAGCTGGTTGGAAATTTTCACATCAACTGTGTATGTCTAAAGATTACTGGACCAAGCCACTCTAAAGATGGTATCAAATTTCTTTATACAGAAACCAGTCTGCTATAAGGGTTATCCTCTTGCTTGATTTTAAAATATATAAACAGCAGTGTTTCTCCTTTATGTTTACAATAAGCTTACAATATTAAAGTTTGAAAAGTCCCAAGTAATTATATATTGGTAAATGACTAAATAGATAATTATACTGATCAGTGATTTTTTTCCCTGTATTTTACAGCCGAATAAAGGCTGTTTCCCCTAGCTCAAAATAGGTATATTTTCCCCTAAAAAAGCTAATATTTACTCCTAAAATGCCCTGTGCACTTCTTCACCAGAAACATGACTCAACAGCATCTGACTTATTATATCAGTTAGAAGACAGAAAGCTGTCCCTATTGCCTCCACTATGTATTATGCATGTTAAATTGAATTGAAATTGAAAATTTTATTAAATGTGTGTGTAAATTCCATTCTAAGTTGTTAGAATTTGATTTTCCCCTTCAGAAAGCCACAGGTTGTTTTGAAAATTGGGAAAAAAATCACTGCTGATAATCCATGAAGCAATGAAAAAAAAATCCATACAGAACATTTATATGCCAAAACTTCATTTAAATATGTACCTTAAGTATCTTCAAGAAGGTATGATTCATTTTCATGATAAAACAAGTATTTATTTGCAATTTGTTTGTTCTCATGAGTAAATCAATGCTGATATTTCAAACAAAAGTTTTCAATATAAATTTATATACAACTATGTTGAGTTTTTTTTCACCTGTAAATTTCAATTTGTTGATTTTAAGCATGAAAATATATACCACGAAAAAAAACTTACGAGAGTTTCTACGTTTCAATTTCATTTTAATATCCCTGGCAGTAAGACTCATGGAAGCTGTAAATCCAAATCACTGGCACATTCCATTAAGCATTAATTATTCATTTAGAGCTGGAAATTATTTCAGTAATCAATGATTTCATCGTATCTCCATTCTAACATTATGTCAACTATACACATTAACTAGAGAATTCCTGTATATAAATATAACCAATACAAGATGTCTGTATAGACAAGTATACTAGTATAAACTATGGAGCTATGGTAGACAATATCAAAATATCTTTAAATGTAACAAGGTTGACAAATGCGTTCATCAAATGGACAGTATACCTGGCATTGCACCAAGTCTTTATTTACAAACTTTCTGGCAATGTGCCAAACAAGTAACTGATCAATGCTACCAAAACATTTCAATCTATGTTTTTCTTATTTTAATAAGGATCGGCAACAAAAATAAATTCTATCCTTTGTTCAGCATATAGCAAATTAGTGTTAAAAATAATATATTTTCTTTCTTATACATTTGTTCAAAATCTGGTCTTTTGTATAGATCAGGGATCAACCAGATAATCACCAAACAATGACAGATTTCTTATTTTGTCAGTGTAATGCTATGTTTTACATGGACATGATATTCAAAACTAAATCAAACAAAAAACTCAGCAGTATTTTGTGAACTGTATGTAAGACAGGGAGGGATCAATGAAACTAGAATATGCACTATTTAAAGATATTTCCTTTCTGACAAAGAAGGAAAAGTTACCAGAGAACAAAAATTTCTTAAATACTATATGATTAAAGTGAATCATAATCAAGTCACTGAATTAAAGATTTTGAATTTACTGGTCCGAATCCCAGTTTTGAATTTATTCTACTATATATTTAACTAAATTTTCTTAAAATTTACACTGGCCCGAAGTAATTTACACAAGCCATGGGCCACTGGGCCAGTGCTAAATTCGATGACTGCATAATTGAAACAATTTGGGGGGGGGGGAATGAGGGTCACTTCCTATGCTTGATTTATCTGTTTATCTGTTTTATGTAATAACACATATTTCATAGCAGTGATGACAAAAAAATGGTCCGTAAAAAACATGCAGTGCGTATTTATATACAATATGGATCATATTAAATTGTATGCACAGAACATGTTTTTACTGAAACATGAAAACAGGTATGAAAGTGAAATACAGAAAAATACCCAATATATCAATGTATTATCTATATTCATCATCCTACATATGCTTTGAACTGAATCTATGTCAGCTCTACTTGCTACTTGTTTACATGTTTGCTTTTTTTAGCTTAGGTTGGACTAAAATAATGCATTAGTTCTGTGTATTCTTACTATTGTGTTCAAAGTCCTTATCCATAGTTTGACAGAAAGGGCTAAGAAGTTGCGACTACAGTTAATGTAGAGTAAATTTTTGTTATAAAATAAACTAAATTAACATAAAATGATGGACTATTTATATTTAATTAATGACGATAGCTTGTCATCATTCTGTCAGTATTATCTTGACTGTTCCTTTTGGTTAACTTATTCTCATTGGTCATTAAACTCTGATTGTATTGGTCTCAGTAGTTTATATACCAACGCATTTAGATTTTCGCGCTCTTTCTTGATTCTTTTATAGATAGCTTCACAGTTCTGAGAGGAAAATTCTCTATAAAATAGAAAATTACAATTAAAAGTTATGAATGTAACAAAATTGAATGAACATTGTTTTACTGAATACTCTCAAAATTAGACATTATCATCTTTTATACAATATGTAATTATCAAGGGAGACAAATAACATGACAGTATTATACTTACTGTTAAGAGTTTTGTCCAAGTCCATTGCAATTAAATCCAATATTTTATAATAAATGTATAAATTCTGATGAACATTATTGTCTCTTATATATTTGTTTCATATATAACATTTTCACTGTTTCTTTAACAAAAGTCTGTCAATCTTCACTTTATACAAGGAATAACATAAAAAAAAGTAACATAAAAAAATGTTAATAATTTGCACCAAATATCATATGTTTCGAACAAGACACTATTCAAAACATCATTTTATTTCAGTTACAAGTTTGGCTTACTGTACATTAAGTTCTTGAATGTAACTACATAAACTCTATAACAATTATTGTATTATTAATGACCTTGTTTACCTTTTCAAACAAATACTTTTTGTTTTATTGTAGGTCTAAAAAAGTTTATATATTGTTGTAAAGGAAAGCTTGTCTAAAATATTGTGGAGTAACTTGTTTAATAAACTATTTTACAGTGTTCTATGAATAAGTGTGCAAAAGTTCATTACAAACAAAGTTTGTAATTCATTTATAATAACAATAAAATTATAAATTAAATATTTCTGAGACAAGTCTCAAGTCTTCCAGAATTTGAATAGTAGCCAAAAACAAACAGATATAGGTTTATGTCTGAAAAGTTGGGTTTTTTTTTTAATTTAATAATCTTTGATTGTAAGGACTTATTAAAAGATACCAAAACATAACTGGATTCTCTTTAAAAAACATAAGAAAGGAAGGAATTAATATACATTTATAGCGAGCTCGAAAAGCAGACCCAAATGGTCTGCTAGCAAAGTTAGCTTTATGGTAACACGAGTACCTGCTAGATAGTTATAAATGGTTTTGAAAACTTTCAATGGAAGTACTGATAAATTATTGCTAATTGATTAATCACAACTTTTCAAATTACAAGATAAAAACAAAAAGAAAGGAATTCTAATTGAAAAATGGGTGCGTACATGTAGACTATCCTGCGAACTTATAATGGAACCATAGTAGGATAGGAAACCAGAATCAATGGAAGCAGTGTATGAAAAACCAAATGGTACTTTTAAAATGGAAAATGATCATATAAAACATGAAATGGCCGTATATTATGTGTGGTTGTGTTAATTGAATAGTTCTGCCAATGTATGCAGTTCAAAATGTATTGTAAACATAAAATGTGTAGCCGCCATCGGGTCTTAATTATAATGTCCTATAATTTCTGTATAAGAGCTCGCTTTAAGGCTTTGCCTTATTCATATTAACAGAATGTCTAATAATTTCGTCTTATTTTTATTATGAGGGATTTAGCGTATACTTTGGTATCTTATGGTATTTTTTGGGTAATTCCATACAACAATAGTGTCCTGAAGTCAAGCTCTTCTTAACTTTAGCATAAGGTTTTATCTTAACTAATACATACATGTGACAAATGAAATGGGCCAAATCTGGATTTTCAGCTGGATTTTGAGGCTCAAAACTGGATTTTTTATCGACTCGAATTTCAGTGGGTGTTTGGCACATTTGGTTCAAAGAATCTACATTACCCTCAAAATTCATATAATAATTAAATGATTATACTTTTATGATTTTTTTGTGGATCAATATTAATTTATTTCACCAAAACATAAATAAATAGATAAATAAATAAGTGTAGTCATACTGGCTATTTCTAAAACAGTCACACTTTCACATTTCATTATTTTCAGTTTGAAGAATTATAATGTCTTTTCAGTCATTCAATAATTAAACACAAGCTATTTGAAAACGTGCAACAACTATTCATAAACATAAGACTATGACAGTTAAATAACGTAACATAAGTAAAAGACTCAAAATAAATGCAAGAATCGTTCTGTTATTAAATCCACATTTTTGCCTCGATGATTGCGTAATTCCTAAACAAAACAAAAAATTACCCACTCACTAAAAATAGGTTAATTAGACATCTCAAACAGGTTTTGAATGATCCACTTTAAATGATTCTGCTCCCCTTTTATCTTTATCAGTGCGGCACTAATCAAAGAAAATCAAAGGTTGAGCCGAATTCATACATGTAAATTTACAGGGTAGTTTTGATGACGTAGCGTGTAATACCTACTGCCAAATTACAAAAGAGGTCAATTGACTGACACACGACACGTGATAAGTTAAACATGTGAGAATAACTTTGGGTATTGGAACTGTTTATTACGTCACCTTGCTGTCAATTAGCGACTCAACATTTAATCCGCTATAATTTAGGATATGGACAGATAACAATCAATGCCCGGAGGCACGGTTTACATTTTAGATACAGGTGCTGTGTTTGATTTTTTTTATGTTGATTTTTTTTAAATATCGGGAATTCAAGCTGTAATATCGGGAATCGGGATCAGTGTTGAAATATCAGGATTTTTTTAAATCCCGCCGGGATGTCACATGTATGGTAATACTCATGGAATTAAGATTATTTTTACGGTAAAAAACAAAGTTTTTAAATAGTCTTGCACAAGGCTAATGTATCATCATCATCCTGTTTGATTTACTAGATATCAAATTTCTGCAATTATTAAGTTACAACTGATTAATGGACAGGGAAAAATATCCAACTCACCAAATAAATTTCATATTTGCTACATTAGTGGATGAAATTTTGCACAGCTTCATAACTAAGTTTGACAGTTGTGTATACATTACAAGAAAGTGTCTGTAAAATAAACAATTGCACACTTTACTCAATGTTGTCAGCATCAATAAGTTGTTCATCAAGTAAAGTTTACTATATTTTTTTTGTGAACAAGTTTACATTAGCAACCTGGAAATTATCTATGTTTTAAAGGTTTTGATAAAATGTAACAACACATCATGCAAGTCTATACTAAAGAAGGTTTATGGATTAAATACTTTTTGCGATTTAATGAGGTCATTTGTACACAAACTGCTTGTAAACAAAGAAAAACATGTTCAAGCTTGTTCAAAACAAACCTCTGTCCGCCATGTTCCCGCTTGGGAATTGACAATATGTAACGACAAATTTGATTGGCTGTGATCAACACTGACTAAAAGGTTGACGAAGAACAGAATTGTACATAGCCAAAGTCCGTAAATAATCAAAATATTACCAGAATGATAAACTATAGCAAAAATTACCGGAAATAATTATCAAGAATTTCTTCTAAGACACATCCCTGTCTACATTATCAATATTTCAAACAAAAAAGCTTATACTGTACCAGCCTATCCTATCCTGATCCTTGAAACAGTCAACACGACCCAAAGTTGGTCAATCAAAAAAACGGTAGGCCTGAGTGATCAATTACAAAGCATTTGGACGATAAATCATGCATTTTTATAAAACAACACAAGAAAAATTTATATCAATTTTCATTCTTACATTTTCAGAAAAAAAAATAATAAAAAGACTACATGAAGTAATACAGAGGGGTTCAGAAGTCAACAGTAAAAAATCCTAAAAAATAACTTGAATCATGCTGGGAAGAGAAGCGAAACAAAATCACAAATAATGCAATTAAGTTCCTACCTAAAAACTAAATGATAATATTGAATAAGCAAGAGAAGGAAAGCAAAAATCACATTTAATGCAAAATCATACACAGAAGCTAAATAATAGTAATTCATCTTCTTCTTCTTCTGGCGTTCGCTCTACAAAATCACACCAGTATCTGCGACGAAGGTTGTTTAGTTTCTTCCAATACACCCTTATTTCTTTTAGGTCTTTTTATGGTTTTCTATATAGTGTTGTTTGTAGTAGCCCCTTCCACGTCGAACTAACGGTTTGGTTCCTTCTGTGTGCCCTTCTCGTGTGGCTGGGTTGTAAAAAAGAAATGAAGTAGCAGAAAATAGTTGTACACAGTTACTTTTCAGCCATCTAGGCAAGACCAATCCAGCTTCCGTGGCGATGCCCAGGTCCGAGACCCTGCTGGCATAGCTCAAGCCCTTCAATTGGCGGTACTCCGTAACTGTGCATGTAAGTCCCCTATAGAAGGTTAGTTTAGACAGCTCGTTCTTGAAGGATGCCAAAGAATGAGCCTCAGCACTAGATGTGGGCAGGGTTTTCCACAGAAAAATACAACGAGGAAAGAAGCTGAACTTCATAACGTCAGTGGATGTTGTATACTGCAGGAATCGGGTACTGTGTGGCGACTTTGGTCTGGGTTAAGTTGGTGTTAAGAAGTGGCCTGGATCTATCTCCACAAGTTGGTGGATTATTTTGTAAAGCATAATGAGTTGGAGCTTTTGACGGCGTATTTCGAGTGTTTCCCAAATAAGGTGATGTAGCATATCTGAGACGCTGCTTGTGTTATGGTACCTGTTTGTAGCGAAGCATATACAATCATGTCTATCTGGATCCTCTTGTCAAGTGATTCTGCCAACTCATGCGCAAGGGTGAGGAGTTCAGTTTTGCAGCTCCTCCTTGTTCTGAAACCATGTTGGCAATTGTGTAGGATGTTATGTCATTCCAGATGTTTCATGGTCTGGCTGACAATGACATGCTCGAGCAGCTTGCAGAATAGGCTTGTGAGGGAGACCGGCCGGAAGATTGCGGGATCCTGCCTTGAGCCTTTCTTGTAGATGGCTTGGCTCCAGTCGTCCGGTACCTTACTTTCCTCCATTACGGTTTGAAGATCATAGTGAGGATTGGGGCCAGATCAGAAGCACAGTCTCTTAGTATGCGTGCCGGGGTGTTATCAGGACCTGAAGCCTTCCTTGGGTTGATGTTGAGTAACAACTTCAAGATGCCCTCTTCATTGATCTTTATGGTGTCCATATCCGGAAAGGTGTACCTACTGGTGTTGGGATATTACTATCTGCTTCATGAGTAAATACCGACACGTATTGCTTGTATAACATGTTGGCCTTGTCGTGCGCAGCGTTGAAGAGTCGACCATTATCTTTAAGTGATGAAATGCCAGAGTTGGTGAGTTAGATATTTTTCCTTATGCAGTCTTTCCGAAGTGACTTGATGAAGCTCCAAAACTTTTTCTGCTTCGGTTGTTTGTCTTTCTCTGTGTCCTCAACTTCCATAATATTGTTGACATATGAATTGTAGGATTGTCTTTCTAATTTTTGGAATTGTGATTTCAATTTTTTATATTTATTTATATCTGATGCTTTCCCGGTCTCCTTCATCCAGGTGTACAGTTTTAACCTTTTTCTCATAGCCTTTTTACTAGTTGTCCATGGTTTCTTCTTATGATCTTCTTTAATGAGTTTTGTGGAAATATGTTTTCCGCTAGAGATAAGAGAGAGTTTTTAAATAACGACCAAAGGGTGTTTTATGGAGCGTTTTCATTTCTGCGTAGAGATCACGCAGCCCTTTGTTAAGGTCATCATAATTTGCCTTCTGGTAGGTGAAAACCTGCGCTTCAGTGGTTGTGATCTATGTGGACGTAAGCTGGCTTTTACATAAACTGCTTCGTGGTCGGAAATTCCTGGCATAACTTCTGTTGTGTTTATTAGCGAACTATTGTTGGTAAAGAATAAGTCAAGGATGCTACTGGAGTGCTCTGTGATATGAGTTTGATCACACACTTGTTGTTCTATGAATCTGTCATTAGCAATGTCAAGTTATTGTCGGCAGAGAGAACACCTTGTAGCAGGTGGAATCACAATGTTGTTCTCCCAGTCAATATCTCCGAGGTTAAATTCACCTCCCATCCAGATGTGGGCCCATCTGGGCTTCTAGACAGACTTGTATCAAGGTGAGAGAGATATTCTGGTTGGTCCATGTTAGGTGGTCGGTAGAATGCTCCCACATAGAGGTTGTTCACGCCGGTAACAGATATTTGTACCCACAACATCTCACAGTCACCGGTGTTGATTTCTTCCGGAACCAAACACTGGAGCATCTTGTCAACGAATATAAAGACCCCGCCTCCCTTCCCTTTATGTCTGTCGTGTCTGAAAACGTTATACCTGTCGGGGAAAAACTCACTACTTTGGTGATTACCTGTAAACCATGATTCAGTTCCGATGACGATGTTTGCTCCAATATTTTCGCAAATAACTCCCAACGAGGTTTTCTTTCCAATGGCTGATTGACAGTTTATGTTTCGTACTTTTAATGGGCCAGATCTGGCCCAGAGTAAAACTTGATTGTGACGCCCACATTTTTTAGTTTGTTAACTTGTGATGGTCTACTTTGCCAAGGGTCTTTGTAATTAATGTCCACCATTATGACGTCCGCTTCTAGTCCATTGTCTAGGCGATAAAAGTCTTCTTGAAAAAAAAACTCATCAACTAGTCTACGCTATTTTTAGTCCTATTAGGAACTCAGCTGTATTGAAATTTTCCTTCAACGAACAAAATGGTATTTGGTAGTATTGTTTATGAAAATTATTTCAATAGATATACAAAATAGGTAAAAATATTCAGGACTTTCTGAAAATTATGGATGGATGAATTATCCGATAACGATGTAATTTTCATTTCCATCTTATATTAACTTATCCAGTTCTTTTCCATTTCCGGTTTCAAGATGAAGTATGTTATTGTTGTGAAATTTCAATAAAATCTCCTCTCATCTGATTTAGTTTTAAATGAATTTAGCAGAAACAATGAATAGTGATAGTTTATTATACACCCTTTATATTCTATACCTTATTTCTTTTCAGGATCGAACTGTGTTCGTTCAGTGGGTTCAAAATCTACCCTGGTCACGGCAAAAAAGTTGTCAAGACCGATGGAAGGGTAAATATTTTACATTCTTACCCCTCGTTACATATTGGAATAAATATAAAGCTTTAAGTATTACAAGAAACCTAAAATGTTTTCCATGTAACCTGCATTTAATTATAAACGGCCGAAGACAACTGTCTCGAGCAAATTTACACATTATTTTATATAGACAAGACCAATTCATTTATCAATATTTATATATTATACGATACACAACTAATTGTGGTTTTCATGCAAATTGTGCATTTGTCAAATAAATCATTGTCTATTATTGTCTACGTTTTTAATTCCAAACAAGGAACATATGACATAAATTGCTTAAGTCTTGTTAAGTTGATGGCGAAGAAACATCATATCGCAATATTCGCTAATGATCAAGCCACTTGTCCTTTAATCCTGTTGGGTCGAATCCCAACAGGGAATTTAGATTCTTTCATGTGGAGAAGCTATCCAGCAAGCTTACTGAGCGTCGGTGGTTCTACTCAGGTGCCTGTTTGTGCCTGAAATAATGCACAGAAGGGCACCTGAGGTCTTCCTCCACATGTAAAGCTGGAACATGGCCATATGACCTATACTGTGTCGATGTGATGTAAAACCCAAAACAAACAAAACTTAAATACATTAAATTGGTTGATCAGTAAATAAGAAAGATATAAACCCAATCAAACAAACAAAAAAAAAATTTCAATAAAGTTCACTAAAAGTATTTTACCAAAAGATGAGCATAGTGTATTTGAAATAATTTTAAATCGGTATAGTAAATCTATAATAATGATAATATGATATGAACAAAATTAAATGATGGTGTTGAATTAAGGTCTTTTACTGCCTTATTAGTATTTCCCAGTGCTTTTTGCTTTTCTATTTTGAAGAACTTGTTAAATTTTTGTGTTGAATTTGAGATCCCTTTTCCCAAAGTATGCCTATTTTCCCGAAGAAAAAGGCCAAGACCCCTTCCCCAAAATTGGTGTTTTGACCCTGTCATCAAATACACCAGTTGATGCATCATACACACATTGTTGTATCATACACTAATCTGATAATATACTAGACCTGTTTATATAGTTTGTAAAATTACAGTCATACACCAGGTAACCTTGAACACATTCCACACGGTGCAATGTTTACATTGGTCAAAGTTGTCAGTTAGTAGTGCCGCGAAACATTTTGCCGGGGGTTCAAGGTTTGAGTCCCTGTCAGGCTGCACATTTTCTGATCCTGTGACATCTTCTTAAATCAGATCTTAATGTTACTAATTAAATATAAAACTTCTGCATATACCAGATATAAACAGTCTAGTTATATTGGTTATTCCAGGTTTTCCAGTTTATCAACTCAAAATCTGAGAGTTCTCATTTGATGAAGAGGAATCCTCGTAAAATTAACTGGACAGTGTTGTACAGAAGGAAGTACAAGAAAGGTCAGTCAGAGGAGATCTCAAAGAAGAGGACACGTAGAACAACAAAGTTCCAGAGAGCAATTACTGGTGCCACTCTTAATGATATCCTCGCAAAGCGCAACCAGAAGCCAGAAGTGAGGAAAGCTCAGAGAGAACAGGCTATCAGGTACCATTCAAAATATATCTACATCTATAGATGTAGTAATGATATTCCGCCAGATTGTCTAGTAGAACCTGCCTGAAACATGTTATCTGTAGAAATAAATACATGAGACCAAAACAAAACCTTGTTTATTTAAAGAAGACAAGATCAGCCTAAATTTTTTCATGTTGTATAGTTAATTTACAAGAGTCAATTTTTAACTGTTTTTGTTTACCTTATTAACTCTAATCTTGACCAGCTTAAAATAGCCAGCTGAATTCACTACACTTACATGTAAAAGTCTAAATAAGCTTTTGTTCTGGACCTTTGAAACTGCAAAACAAAATTATAAGAAATTGAATGCTTCAAATGGCATGCAAATATACCCAAGAGAGAAAATTTTATACCATAAAGAGATCAGTTTTATTCTTACACCAAAATAACCAATCAAGTGTATTTAGATAACATTTTTCTAGGCTGTATTATTTTCCCCAACCATTCTCGAAATTTGAATTTGTCTCTTGATCACAAAATTGTTTTAATTTTCAGTTCTCAGTAATGTAAAAATGAAGCTATTTAAATAAATTTTTAGCAGAGTAACCTGTTGTCTGCTGTAAAAGTATTTTCTTGAAAATGTTTTAAAATTATGATTATTATTATCACTAAACAATTATATAATTAAATGTCTTTATTAGGTGTAATATATGTTATGTTTTGGAAAGATTTAAATGCTTTAAAGTAATTAGGTAGTAATACTGAAATATTGTTACTACTATTTACAGAGCTGCTAAAGAGAAACAGAAAGCCAAGGACGCCCAGAAGAAATCACAGAGGGTAAGATCTTTCTACTGTGTCACAACTTAATACTGCACTTATTTTATACTGATGGCAAAAAAATCATGCTAAAACATTATGTGAACAAAACAGAGATTTTTTTTGCAGTCTTTATCGTTTATGCTTGAAAGTTTTCGTATGGCATTAACAGTTCAACTTAGAAGGCGCCACTTGCTTCAAATCAAGACCAAAAATTGTTCTTTAAATTTCAATCCTATCATTTTGTGTGAGGAAGCTTACTGTTATAATGAGGTGCCCTCTCTGGCCGGAAATGATATGTTTAAGTTATGCTCAATGTTTTTGACATTGTAGTAATGTTGGTTTGTCAGTTTTATCATTTTTGGATACATTTAATAACAAATATTTGAGTATAATATGAAAAGGAGTTACACTTTGTGAAAATATGAAAATGCTGCAGTGTCTAACAAATGATGAGCTTTGATGCTTTTATTATTTGGAATCATATCAGTTACTGATATTTATTAAAGGGTAAGAATAATACTAAAGTTAAAGCACATTTTAAGATATGACAATAACTATTTGCATTCATTGTTTAATCACAATCTTGTGTCTATTTCAGGCCACCGCAGCAAAGAGCCAGCCTAAACAGAAAGCTGCTAAACAGGTACAACCCAAGGCTCCAAGAGTTGGCGGAAAACGATAATTTATTGTACATTAATAAGGAAAATAAATCTGGAAAACCCAAAAAGTGTTTTGTTAAAATAGCCTTATTGTAATTCTTGGAAAAACTTTGGGTGTGGTGTTACATTGGAAAGGTTCTTGTTCACAACAGTGATATAATTTTTCAGTATTGCAGGAATGTGCTTCTAAAGGAATAACTTTAAAACTATTATAATCAACTTAAAGCTTCATAGAAATGAAATGATGTGACCAATTACTCTTGTACATAATTTTCAAGTTATTGCCCTTTGAAACTGTTCATACTTTGGAGCACAACTTCAAAAAGTATTAGGAGTATCAATTAAATACTTCATAAATGAATTCTAATGAGAAGTGCCATGTCAGACAACCAGAACTTGTATAATTTGGGTTTTTTTCCCCTTCATTACTGTTCATACATATTTTTGTGACGAGGGGAACTCAAATGTATTAAAGGTATCAAATTGAAACTACAAATGGATAAATTTAAAGTTCAGTGCCTAAAACTAAAAAGGCTCTTGAAAATGAACAAAGAGTAAAAAAAACTCATTCAAAAGCTACTCTTAATATACATCTAGTTAGTCATAATAGATCTGCATTGTAAAAGTTAACAACTTATTGAAATTTATCATTTTAAATTTAACATGTCCAAAACTTTGTTGCTTGGCAAGTTGAAAATAGTTCTGTTAACACTTGGCAAATACCTAAAAGTTGTGAAGAAAATTTAATGAGTTTTGTAAATTTACTCATTATCCCCCACCGATGGAATCGGGAGGGGGATATAGTTTTGGCGTTGTCTGTCCGTCCGTCCGAATTTCATTTCCGGAGTAGTTCTCTGGACTTCCAACGAAACTATGGGAATCATCAATATCAAGAGGAGATGTGCATATCATCTGCTTGTTCCGGTCCGACCCTTTAACTCAGAGTTATGGCCCTTGATTAGTTATGTGGTATGCATATAGAGTAAAAATCGTTTCCGGAGTAGTTCTCTGCAACTACTGGCTGGAATTCAATGAAACTTTATGGGAATCATCAATATTAAGAGGAGATACGCATATCATCGGCTTGTTCCGGTCAGACTCTTTAACTCGAGAGTTATGGCCCTTGATTAGTTATGCAGTATGCATATGGAGTAAAAATCGTTTCCGCGCTACTTCTCTGCAACTACTGGCTGGAATTCAACAAAACTTTATGGGAACCTTCAATACCAAGAGGAGATGTGCATATCGTCGGCTTGTTCCGGTCAGACACTTTAACTTAGAGTTATGGCCCTTGATTAGTTATGCGATATGCATATGGAGTAAAAATTGTTTCCGCAATACTTCTCTGCAACTTCTGGCTGGAATTCAACAAAACTTTATGGGAACCTTCAATACCAAGAGGAGATGCGCATATCGTCGGCTTGTTCCGATCCGACCCTTTAACTCAGAGTTATGGCCCTTGATTAGTTATGTAGTATGCATATAAGAGTAAAAATCGTTTCTGCACTACTTCTCTGCAACTACTGGCTGGAATTCAACAAAACTTTATGGGAACCTTCAATACCAAGAGGAGATGGGCATATCGTCGGCTTGTTCCGGTCAGACACTTAAATTCAGAGTTATGGCCCTTGATTAGTTATGCAGTATGCATATGGAGTAAAAATCGTTTCCGCGCTACTTTTCTGCAACTACTGGCTGGAATTCAACGAAACTTTATGGGAACCTTCAATACCAAGAGGAGATGGGCATATCGTTGGCTTGTTCCGGTCAGACACTTTGAACTCAGAATTATGGCCCTTGATTAGTTATGCAGTATCCATATAGAAAAATATTTGTTTCCTCGCTACTTCTCTGCTACTACTGGCTGGAATTCAATGAAACTTTATGGGATACTAAGAGGAGATTTGCATATAGTTGCCTTGTTCCGGTCAGATACTTATAACTCAGATTTATGGCCCTTGATTAGTTATGTAGTATGCATACATCTCATTGGCATTTCCAGATTTTACTATTTAACACAAAGTTATGGCTCTGTTATTGCCCTGAATAATTATCAAGTTCAAAGAATATTACTGTTTATGCCATGATTAATATATAAATAAAGCCTTATGTCTTCAGTTGTTGTGTTAATAATAACCAGTACTCGGCGGGGGAAATAAATGCAACGAATTTGCTTGTTCCATTCAGTTTGAATTTTCGGAAAATAATGTGAATGCCTGCTAATAATGCCAGTCTGTGCTACTTGCTTAGTGTATTTTTTACGGGCCCTGGGCTTGCATGCTACAGCTCAATTGTCGAGCTATAACTTGTACAATATAAATCTTGAAAGTTGTGACCCTAGTCATGATGCCGTGTACTTGTGGTGCAATTGAAAACAAATATTTCAAGTTAAATATTACTCTGAAGTTTAAAAAAAATAGCTTATTTAAAGGCAAGTAGAAAAGCTCTATCTATATGCATTATACAGTAAAACTAACCAGTTCTTGATAGCAAAACAAGAGCCCAGATGAGGTAAGAATTGGCAGAGGAAGGCTTCATTTCATTCCCGTTCAAGATGTTGCAGCTAACACCTACCTAAAGGCTTACATAGATGAAAATGTCCAGGTGCGTAGGGTAGCCCGACTTACTCAGTGGTTCTACTTAGGCCTTGCTCTTGTTTGAAATAATGCACAGTAGGGCATCAGAGGTCTTCCTCCACAAGTTAAGCTGGAAAGTCGTATGACCTCTAAAGTGTTTGTGCGATGTAACCTCGGTCTCGCCCAAAAAAAAATCTAACAATAGTCGAGCTAAAAACAACATTGTTCAATGAATCTATACAACTCATTGTTGATAGTAAATGATATTAAAACAACACAAAATAAATTGATTCCTAAATTTATATTGTTTCTCGGCATGTAAACACAAACATTTTATCACAGATTTTGAGAAAATAACTCCTGGAATGGATCACAAGTCATTCCAAAACTACATTGTATAACAATAATGCAGTGGCAATAAATTAACATATAACAAAAATATACAATAAACATAATCAGCTGCAATAAAATCTTTAATTATTGTTCATTTAAAATAATGAAATATTCAAGTTCTTTAAGATCAGAATGGAAATAAAATCCGAAATAAAAATAGAAAGTCGTTTCTGCATACTTAATTGTCTTGGAAATATATTTGTAAGAAAATCTTAAAACTGTTGATAAAAGATTATTTTGTATGATGCATAGATAGTGCATATTTACAGCTACCTTCGTTATGAACTATTTCTATTGACAATATTGGCTATAATTTATGATGTCATTCTTATAAAAAATCTTGCATTAATTTGACTAAGGTGAAAAATGTTGGTTCTCAGTTCATTCATGTACAGCAAAAACTGGATAAATGTAATAGCAAATGTTTAAAATGTATATGGATATTTGTGAAATATTGAATAAAAATCTAAGATATATTTTTTTGTGAACACATATAATATTGGACGGAATGTATTCTAATATAACTTTAATACAATGATAAAATTAGAAATGATAAACATGATCTCTCATAAATTAGAACAAAAACGAAATCTTTCATGTAAACCAAACATTATCACAACAGTTTGTTGGGACGGAATGTAATAATAATAACTGTAAATTTATACCTAGAAAAATGACTGACAAAAAGTTCATCATTGCAACCATTACAATGTTCTAAGTTAAGTTTGAAGTTACATCAAGCTTCCATATCAACATATGACCATCATAATAATCCAAGCATATTACACACATTAAAATAAATTTACCTATCTAAGATCTATAATATATGGTAAGCAGTTTTTGAAATACTTACAGTATTCCATTCATGTAAATACAGAGTAAAGAAAAAATATTAATTGCTGTTACACTATATTAACATCTTATAACATTTTAATAATGAGACATTGAAGTTTTTGCTAGTTATAGATATTAAAATAAACACTAATACAAACAACTTTACTGCACAATAAAGAAAAAAATCGTAATCGCTATCTCAATATATAAGTTATCTTTTCCAACAATATGGTCCTATCAAAAAGAATATACTCCTTTGAAAGAAGACGAATAATGTCCTAACACAATAAGACAAGATAGGTGTAAGAAGAAGAACGTTGAGGTAGAAGTAAATGTTACCATGGTTACAAGTGACAGAAGATTGCACTCTTACATGTTTACATGTAACAAACATTGATATATTAATTACCAGTAATTCAGCAAGCGTTGCAGTAATTTCGTTCCTAATTTAGATACGTACAGTATACATAGGTCTGTTCATGGAAAGAATGACCCTTTGATTTATAACTAATTGAGTTTGTTAAATAAAAGGTAAATTTACAGTAACAACAACATGAAAGGTAACAAAGTCGTTTTTATACACTGAAAGAAACGTTACAACTTATATGAAAGACGCTACAATGTTTTGATTTATTTCTAATCAAGTTAACACTTACCACCCTAAATAACTTAAATGGACTTGTCCATAATTCAATCTGGACAAGGCCAGTCATCATTCTTAGGGAATATCAAAATACATGTATGTACTTCTTAAATAGCCAACAATGTAGGCCATGACAAGGTGGTACAGTAGTACTGGCAGATCTTGGTCTACACTGGTCGCACGAGAAGATTGTGTTGCTGCTAGCAGACTCTGCATTAACAAGGTCATCAAACTATAACGTTTGACCCTATCTTACATATGTAGAGACATTATATCACATGGAAATGTTCTTACTGAAAATCGAAAACTGTAAGAACATATACATGTACAATGATATGTCTCCTCTGGTAGAGTTGATGGAAAACAATAGTAATGTACGGCCTTCCTTACCAATCAAAGCAAATGATGTTCATTAATAGTTTTTCAGTACATTTATAAAGACTGTACTGGTATGAATTCATGCAATCCCAGATCTATTACTGTTACTGTAATTTACACTATTTAATACAATTGATGATAATGTCTGCGGAATTCAACATTCTAGTTGTTGAAATTTTTTACATTCCGGTGAATATCAATGTCACAGAATCAATTTGTGACATTCTGACTTGTGTAATAAGAGAGATGTGACATTCTGATTTATGTTACAGTAGATATGTGACATTTAATGCGTTTCTATTGGTGTCTGTGTATATTACGTTTCAGATGAGCAGACGTGATTCTCAAACGGGCCCTGTGGTTCCCGGCCTCTATAACCCTCCTCTGTGTAATTGGTGCATGACCTTTGAACCCACTCACCTGAAATACATGATACAATCAGGTCAATATTCAACAAATTGACATAAAATAATAGTTTGACTAAAAAACAGTACATGTAGTTAAATTCTTTATACCTTGATATAGTCATGCATGGTACATTTTCAATATAATATGCATAAAGAATTAAAATGTACTATTCACATTAGATCAAAGAGGAGTGATGTCCATCATTTAAAGGTATTATTGATCAACGATATTCAAACACTAGCAATTATTATTTTATCAATTAAATACAAAAAGTTCTTTCAATATTTTGCAAATTAAATTTTTAGAGGTTAAATTACATTTTAGAAGAAGCTTGAAAGTTGTTTGAAGATATAAACCAGTAAATATGTTCTGGTCCATGTAACTCTATATTATTCATAATCAATTACAGCACATGTATTCCATTCGCATAAACTATAATTATATTACTTTAATAAGCACCCTTACTTTGCATATAATATGCAGTGCATTTAGCTACAGTAATGTTTCATTTATATCTAAACAATATTTAAAATCTATTTACAGAAAAGAATTTATCATGAGTGGCTCCATGTACATGTTAATTAGGAGTGAAAATCAGTATAAATAAGAGACAATTATTTCGCTTAAACAATTTTGCAATGCTTCTACTCTATACCCCCCCCCCCCCGGTACATCTAACACACTGATCATATGACAGCTGTCGAAGAGTATAGATACACACTTCAGATTGTCCCGTTCTACAGAATACACACTTCATATTGTCCCAGAGTACAGATACACACTTCAGATTGTCCCGGACTACAGAATACACGCTTCAAATTGTACCAGACTACAGAATACACACTACACATTGTCCCGGACTACATAATACACGCTTCACATCGTCCCGGACTACAGAATACACACTTCACATTGCCCCCGACTACAGAATACACGCTTCACATTGCCCCCGACTACAGAATTCACACTTCACATTGTCCTGGATTACAGAATACACACTTCACATCGTCCCGGACTACAGAATACACATTTCACATCGTCCCGGACTACAGAATACACACTTCACATTGTCCCGGAGTACAGATTCACACTTCAAAATGTCCCAGAGTATAGATAGATAAAGTACACACTTCAGATATCCCTAAATTTGCACACTTCAAACAAGGAGAGATAAGCTTGTCAGAGAAAGATGTGAAACAAGTTACTTATAGAGGAACAGGGAAACTTCATAGAGGGATAGCTGTTGGGGTTTGCCTTTAATTTGTATGAAACATAATGGCTTCCAACAGTAACAAAACTGATTACATGCTGGCAAAAAAGTATTAAATCATATATGAACAAGTTGCTGAAGCAGATAATTAAATGGATGGATGTCAAACAAAACTTTAGTTTTATTTCAAGGAGTTACAAAGGGTTATTCCAGAGAAGGAAAAAGAAAGTACTCAAAAGCAAGCCTTAATGGTATTTCACACCTACAGGGACATGTATGACAACATTTTGGCTAATCCCTAATATCAGTGTTTGTTAACTACCTGTATATGATACTGTTTCAAACATTATCTAGACATTTAAAATCTTGGTAATTAATGGTAAGACAGTTATCTAGTCATGGCTCTGTTACAACAAGATTATAATTATGATTATTGTGATAATGTGGAATAAAAACCAAATATGATAGCTCACAATGAATACAGTGTGACATTAGTAAATTGATCTGGTTTATTTGTTTGAAGGCGGAGTATCATTCACAGCTTACCAACTCATGTAATATATGTTACCCTTGGCAACTGAAATATACATACAACCTATTTTTAGAATTATTTTACAACAAAAGCAGGTATATAACCCACTGACTTGCATCTCTTGACATTCATAATGTGTACAAATATCCTCCATAATTAACATATATTTTATACACACTACCCTTTACCATTTCCCCCTCATCACAGGTGCATGATACCCCATTACCACTTTCAAGACTTATATGACCTAATGGATATTGCACTTACAAATATATACCATCTTCTGAATATTGTACATGTTAATTATATTTATACCCCAACTATCATGTTACCTTTTGCACTTAAAGCAGCACACCTCCAGAAGAGTTAATACAATTTTAAAGACTTTAAACTTATGGAAAATATATCTACAGTTTAAATGACCACAATCCAAGTAAATTGTTTAATGTTTTATGCAAAATATGGAATAATTTACTCCTCATTATTAATGGACTGAGAAAATACGTGTTAGCATATTTTGAAAAGTTACAGGTCATTACTTTGTAATGTGTATTATGCTAGGTTACATCACTTTGACAACATCTTTACCATTAAAACAATTTTTAAGTTGTCTCCAGATGAGCCAAATTTGTTCAAGAAGATCAAACTTAAGTAAAATGTACTTAATTTTTTAAGAAAAGTAAAAAGATTCAAGATTCAACTCACCATATTTGTACTGCATGAGTACTGCACTAAGGGCTATTTTTTCTTATTTTGACCTGTTTTTGGTTGTTTACGTGGATTGCAGGTGCTGTTTGCAATGTTTAAATTACTTTCTTTGTTCACTTCACAATTTTTCACTTTAAAATACATTTTTCAAAATTTTCATGAAAATTAGCATGAATCTGGAAGCATGCTTCTTTAATAAAAACTTAACACAAATCTGGAGATGTGCTTCTTTAAACTAAAATTAGAACAGTACAACTTTTTTTTGCTTAACACAAAGTCATACAGAAATGTCTTTAAAGTGATAGCAATTTATGTTCAAGTCTTCAATTACAAGGAAATATATTTCCTAGGGCAGCAAAGCAGAATTGCTATATGAATGCACAGAAAGTTTTTGTTGAAAGCAAAAGAATATTGTGCAGGAAATGTCAAGATATCAAATTATTTTACCCTTGTTAAAGATGAGATTTTGCCACTCAATATCTCTGAAAACATGCAACATCTTATTTCAATAACTATGTTTCTAAAACAGCTGGTTAGAATTGATAACATTCAAACAATGTTAACATTAAATCTGTAAAACATGCAATATTACTAACAAAAATAACAATGTGTTATACTTACACAATGGTTACATACTGAGAAATGACAGGACATTTGGTTATATAACAGTTACAGGGAGGGTAAAAAATTAACCTGTAGGACCTAGGAATAGGGGGAGAAAAAAACATTACCCTTTTTACTAGTTTTAGAGAAAATATAAACAAAGGAGTAAAAACTTTTAACCACTGTATAAATAAAGTTTACTTATTGTTCCGACATTTTCACAAAAAAAAAAAAAATTACAAATAAACAATAAATGTTAAGCTGCACAATAGTTTATACAAATATATGTCTTAGTCTAGATAAACCACGAAGTATACACATATAGAAAAGCAGAGACCAAACAATGAGCAAATATAAACAGCTTGTGTAACGCATAAAATATAGAAAGCAGTCCAAGACAGATCCAGATAAGTTAAAAGTAACTAGAATAAAGAAGACAGTTACAGGCAATATTATGTTACATGTATTATGTCCCTTTGATGAACCTTCTCACCAATATCAAAACAAGAGGTTATTAATGATATAAATTATCAACCAGACAATGCCATCTCTACTTGATAAAAAAAAGTTCCCACATTATCTACAGGATCTGGATCTGCCCTAGAAATGTTTTGGATACGCTCTAGTGGTGGTTTTTGTAGCTTACCCTTTGGATCACGGCACTAAGCCATTTTAAATTTAACAGAGCCACCACACTTTTCCTGGGCAAGCTGTCAAGCAGTTTACCAGTACTAGATGCCTTTACAAGGAACTGCTAGTTCTTCTGTACATGCCAGCACAGCAGTAGTACAGTGCAAATGACCATAGAAAGGATTTCATAATCAATCACAATGAAAGTGACTTGCACCGTCCGTGAATGGAACCCTGGTCACAGTTCAATGCTCTTCATATCAAGTTAACTAGGCGGTGCTTATACGTTTGTCATACGTTTGCCCCTGACATGTTATAGGTCTGCCCCGACATACTAAAGGTCTGCCCCTGACATTTCATAACTTTACCCCTGACATTAAATAGGCGTAAACATGCCTTCAAATACCACCCAGACATATCCTAGACCCGCCCCCAAAGACAACATCTACTAGCTTTATATTAACAACAAATATCAGAAATCTTACACAATCTTGTGAAGGTTTATTTTCTTGTTGTATAATTTCCTCACATTCAATATCTTCCTGTTAGCATCAATTTTGAATAAAAGAAAATGTGAATTTAGACAATTCTTAAAAATGTTATAGTTTTTTCTTTTTCTTTTTCAAACATGAGAAGAAATATTGTAGCTGTATTGTATTGTATTGACAATCCACATTAAGACTTTTATATCCAAAAGTTTATTTGTTCACTCAATATTTCAATTTATTCAGGATATTGAATTTTCTGTCAAAATTAGCTGCTAAAACCAATTAATATTTAAGATAGATAAGCAGTGAAATGGCAAGATTATTCCAATCATCCGGACAGAAATTGAACTTTGATGAAGATAACAATGTAGCTTAAACATATACAAGAATAAATCTTTAACATATTTGAATTAAAGAGTTGAGAAAAGATAATTGCACAATTATTTAGCAAGAACTTCAGGTAGCTTTAGAGACAGGTGCATTATTCGAGGTAGCAGTAACAAGTTATGTGGTAAGTTTTGGTGTACTGAACAGACAGGTGTGTGTAAAGTTAGGACATATAGAAACATTGTTAGATATTGTAAAGGAACATAGATGTTTAGTTAACATAAACTTTATGGAAATGAACAAAAAACAAGAAGCGCCGCAATGCGACGAAAACCAGGTTTTCAACGACCAAGTTTTGATGTGACAGAAATCAATAGGTCAAAGTGCACTGAAGTTATTGAGTAGAAGCTGAAAATTCTATTGTAAGCAAATGACCTTGAACTTGCTCCCAGATATCTAAGTGGCAATCCAAAGCTGCCACTCAGCAAGTTTGGTGTCAAAAGGTCAAAGCAAACTCAAGTTATAACATGAAAACTAAATACATTAACCTTGATCACAGACACCTGGGTAGCAATCCCAAGCTGCCTCTTGATATAAGCTACCCATTCATCAAGTTTGGTGTCAATAGGCCAAAGCAAACTCAAGTTATTGAGCGGAAACTGAATTTCTATTTTTAGTAACAGTGACCTTGACCTTGATCACAGACACCTGGGTAGCAATCCCAAGCTGCCTCTTGATATAAGCTACCCATTCATCAAGTTTGGTGTCAATAGGCCAAAGCAAACTCAAGTTATTGAGCGGAAACTGAATTTCTATTTTTAGTAACAGTGACCTTGACCTTGATCACAGACACCTGGGTAGCAATCCCAAGCTGCCTCTTGATATAAGCTATCTATACACCAAGTTTGGTGTCAATAGGTCAAAGCAAACTCAAGTTATTGAGCGGAAACTGAATTTCTATTTTTAGTAACAGTGACCTTGACCTTGGTCACAGACACCTGGGTAGCAATCCTAAGCTGCCTCTTGATATAAGCTATCCATACATCAAGTTTGGTGTCAATAGGCCAAAGCAAACTCAAGTTATGGAGCGGAAACTGAATTTCTATTTTTAGTAACAGTGACCTTGACCTTGATCACAGACATCTGGGTAGCAATCCCAAGCTGCGTCTTGATATAGGCTATCCATACACCAAGTTTGGTGTCAATAGGTCAAAGCAAACTCAAGTTATTGAGCGGAAACTGAATTTCTATTTTTAGTAACAGTGACCTTGACCTTGATCACAGACACCTGGGTAGCAATCCCAAGCTGCCTCTTGATATAAGCTATCCATACACCAAGTTTGGTGTCAATAGGCCAAAGCAAACTCAAGTTATTGAGCGGAAACTGAATTTCTATTTTTAGTAACAGTGACCTTGACCTTGATCACAGACACCTGGATAGCGATCCCAAGCTGCCTCTTGATATAAGCTACCTACACACCAAGTTTGGTGTCAATAGGTCAAAGCAAACTCAAGTTATTGAGCGGAAACTGAATTTCTATTTTTAGTAACAGTGACCTTGACCTTGATCACAGACACCTGGGTAGCAATCCCAAGCTGCCTCTTGATATAAGCTATCCATACACCAAGTTTGGTGTCAATAGGCCAAAGCAAACTCAAGTTATTGAGCGGAAACTGAATTTCTATTTTTAGTAACAGTGACCTTGACCTTGATCACAGACACCTGGATAGCAATCCCAAGCTGCCTCTTGATATAAGCTACCTACACACCAAGTTTGGTGTCAATAGGTCAAAAGCAAACTCAAGTTATTGAGCGGAAACCAAAAGTTGACGCCTGCCCGCCCGCCCGCCTGCCCGCCCGCCCGCCCGCCCGCCGACTTCGGCATTACAATAACCCGGTTTTCGTTGAAAACCTGGTTAAAAATAAAAGTTAAGGTATAACAGATGAGAGATTTACCTTTCCGTCTTCAGTAAGAAATGAGGATCTCTAGAATGAGTTAGCATATATGTTCCTTTAACTTACAGCATTTCTTACAAGTGTTTCTTTCTATTTATTTTGAAACACTTTCTTTTACTTAGAGAAAATACTATCTAATTTAAGAAAACTTTCATTTTTAGAAATTTTAAAAGTATTACATTCATTATGACCATCTTAAAATAAAGTATGCAAGTATATACATCCTTTGTTATATATATGAAATATTATGTTGTAGTAGCTTTCTGAGGCTCTGTATTTTGCTACGAGCAGCGGTGGAAAATTGATATCTCGCGAGACCGGAGGTAGAGCGAGATATCAATTTTCCAACGTTGCGAGTAGAAAAATACATAGTCTCAGAAAACTACTACAACATAATATTCCTTTTATTATATACCTTTTTGTTTTATTTAGAAAATGAAATGTAGTTGTCAAGAAATAAAATCATGACTGACAGATGAATACGTAATTCTTGCAAACTGGCCACGCCTTAAATAATTTTGGTTCCCGTTTCCAAATGCAACGTTATACAAAGCTAAGATCGGAACCAACGTCAAAAATAGTCCGACATTTCCATATATGGTACCGTATTTGTCACTAACATAATACGGAAATTTCTATCCGTTGAAGCGTATTTGCGCTTCAATATTTGCGTGTATTTTAGGGGGAAAATGTATAGGTATATAATAAATGACGTTTCCTACAGTTTGATAATGTTTCCTCAAATGTGCACATCATTTGAGTGCTATGTGCACATCATTTGGATATGTGCACATCATTTGAGTGCTAGACTATTTCAACTATTTATTATCTAAAAAGCTTTCAAAATAAAATAATCATTCAGTTTTGCCTCAAGTTTAACTTCATACATCAGTAGTTTAAGTTCAGCCAAACTAATCCGAATGTGATTTTGTAAAACTCTCATTATGTCAAGAAATAAGTTTTATTTAAGATTTAAGAAACAATTAGTCCTTGAAGTTGAAATTGTCAATGAAAATCTATTTATATTTAAGCAGCATTAGACAACGTCAAGGTATTAATTTGTAAAAGAAATATAAATTGAGAATTTTTAATGTAAAAATTAAATGTTATTAGAAATGTGTCCTTTGGACACAGATGCCCCCACTCATCTATGGCTATATGGCCACAACAGTCATATACTTTAAAAGTACTAACACATTGAATCATTTATAAGACTGACAAACCTGTTCTCAGATCAGATGATGATTTAAGCATAAGTTTGCCCAAGCAAATTCTATAATCTATAATAGTTGAAATTTACCAATTTTCACATATATACAAGCAAAACCCCAGATGCACAACTGCACATGCTGACCAACATTCATGTAAAATTTCACCTTTTTAGGACAAATACTTTTTGAACTATGCACACAAATCCAGGGCAATAATACTCTGACAAAACTGAAAACTGATCAACATTCCTGTACTAGCTCAAGCACTTTTAGTGCTACATGTGACACAACATTTAGGAACAGACAAACAAGAGGGCCATGATGGCCCTGAAGTCGCTCACCTGTATATAGGCCCCCCGCAGCGGGGCCAGTTTAAACCCCATTGCTTTCATTTGAACAAACTTGGAAGACACCCATTAGAAGATGTTTCATGTTAGACATCAAACGTCTAGCTCGTTGGAATTTTTTAAAAAGATGTTTTTTAAGTTTTTTCTTTACACATATATTTAAAAACAATGACACCCCTGGGGCGGGGCCAATTTTGACCCCAGGGCTCTTATTTTAACAAACTTGGTAGACATCCATTAGAACATGTTTCATGCTAAATATCTTAGCTCTAGCTCTTTGGGTTCTTTAAATGAAGATTTTTAAGTTTTTACTATATGCATATAGGAAAAATCAATGACCCCCTGGGGCGGGGCCAATTTTGACCTCAGGGCTTTTATTGTCCCCCGCCTTTTCGAAGAAAAAAGGGGGATATAGTAATAGGCTCCGTCCGTCTGTCCGTCCGTCACACTTTTGTGTCCGGTCCATAACATTGTCATTTATCAAAGGAATCTGAAATAACTTGGCACAAATGTTTGTTATAATAAGTCGATGTGTCATGCCCAACAACCAGACCCCTACCTCCAGGGTCAAGGTCGCACTTGCTCATTCAAGGTCAATATTGTCTATTTGAGGATATATGTTGTGTCCGGTCCATAACTTTCTTATCTTTGAAGGGATTTTGTAAATACTTGCCACAATTGTTCACAATAATGAGACGATGTGTCATGCGCAACAACCGGTCACCTACCTCCAAGGTCAAGGTCACACTTGGAGGTCAAAGATTAACATAGTCTATTACAGGGTATATTTTGTGTCCGGTCCATAACTTTGTCATTTATCAAAGGAATCTGAAATAACTTGGCACAAATGTTTGTTATAATAAGTCGATGTGTCATGCCCAACAACCAGACCCCTACCTCCAAGTTCAAGGTCGCACTTGCTCATTCAAGGTCAACATTGTCTATTTGAGGATATATGTTGTGTCCGGTCCATAACTTTCTTATCTTTGAAGGGATTTTGTAAATACTTGCCACAATTGTTCACAATAATGAGACAATGTGTCATGTGCAACAACTGGTCACCTACCTCCAAGGTCAAGGTCACACTTGGAGGTCAAAGATTAACATAGTCTATTACAGGGTATATTTTGTGTCCTTCCATAACTTTTTTATAGATCAAAGGATTTTGTAAATACTTGCCACAAATAGTCACTATAGTAAGACAATGTGTCATGCGCAACATCTGCATCCCTACCTCCCAAGTTCAAGGTCACACTTAGAGGTCAAAAGTTTACGTATTCTGTTTTAGGGTATATTTTGTACTTCTTCAGGATTTTGAAATAACTAGGCACAAATAGTCACAATAATAAGACAATATGTCAGATACAATACCTGCACCCCTACCTCCTAGGTCAAGGTCACACTTAGAGGTCAAAGATTAACAGAGTCTGTTATATGGTTTATTTTGTGTCCCGTCTATAACTTCTTCATAGATCAAGGGATTTTGAAAATACTTGGCTAAAATAGTCACAATGATAAGATAATATGTCATGCATAACACATGTGTCCTTACCTCCAAGGTCAAGGTCACACATAGAGGTCAAACATTTACATACTCTGTAATAGGGTATATTTTGTGTCCAGTCCATAACCTGGGATTTTAAAAATACCTTGCACAAATAATCACAATAATAAGATGATATGTCAGGTGCAAAACATGGGCCCCCTACCTCCAAGGTCACACTTAGAGATCAAAGATTGACATAGTCTGTTATAGGGTATATTTTGTGTCCGATCTATAACTTCTACATAGTTCAAGGGATTTTGAAATTACTTAGCACAAATAGTAATATTAATTAGATGATATGTCATACACAACACCAGTTCTTCACCCCTACCTTTAAGGTCAAGGTCACACTTAGAGGTCAAAGGTTAACATGATAGAATTTTACATTCCATGTTTCATTTTACTAGTATTTCTTTAATAAATTCATTGTTGCATTTGTAGATCTAGCATTGATCATAATTTTGGAATGAAAGTCCTGACAGCCATACCTCAATCTTTTGAAATAGCGCAATTTTATGCTTCATATAAAACTTCCCCGAGGCAGGGGACGTTGGTAATTCTGTTACAAATTCTTGTTTAAACAAACTTTGTAGACACCCATTAGAAGATGTTTTATGCTAAATATCTTAGCTCTAGCTCTTTGGGTTCTTTAAAAGAAGATTTTTTAAGTTTTTACTATATACATATAGGGAAAATCAATGAACCCCTGGGGCGGGGCCAATTTTGACCCCAGGGATTTTATTTGAACAAACTTGGTAGACACTCACTATAAGATGTTTCATGCCAAATATCTAAGCTCTAGCTCTTTGGGTTTTTTGGAAGAAGATATTTAAAGTTTTTTCTTTTCGTTGCCATGGCAACCAGAGTTCTGCATAGAATGGAATTCTTTGAACAACTTTGTTAAGGCTTCACACAAGGAACAACCCTGTGAAGTTTCATTATGATCTGCCTTATGGTTTCAGAGGAGATGTCGTTTTAAAAGTGTGAACGGACAACGGACGACGTATGATGGACCACAGACGAAGAGTGATCCTAACAGCTCACCCTGAGCATATGCTCAGGTGAGCTAACAAGGGCAAATCTAAAAACTCCCCCTCCCTCCAGAGTGGGGGCATCAAAATTAATCAGATGAAAGGCTTTATAGCTTTTTTTTTCCAATCAGAATTTCATCCAAATTTCCGAGTTATGAAGATCAACAAACTATCATAAAATATTGCAGACAGGTAAGTGATACTATAATTGACATGTGACAATCTCTTGTTGATGTAAAACAGAAACACTGTGAGTTAACTTACATGTACAGACAACTGTTGTCTTGGTGCTGCTGCTGGTTGTTGTTGTTGTACAGGTTGACTGGGTGGGGTAGTATTTGGCACAATACCATCTGCAGCTGAAACATTTAAAGTTCGAGTTCCATATGTATAAACACAGCAAGAGAATAGATTAACCCTTAAACTGCTGAATTTCTTAAATGGACTTGTCCAGTTTCTTTTTTTTTTGGACTGACCAGCATCAATTTTTGGGACGTCAAATTGAAAATTTGAAGTAGAGCCTGATAAGACTGCATGTGTATTCAGGTTGGTGTGGCTCTATACTGGTGACAAAGGCTGATCACCTTCAATTCTAGCAGGGTCAGAGTTCAGAATTTCACTAAATGGAAAACATATCAGGACAATTCAAATTATGTAATGCCTTAAAAACTACTTTTAATTTTATTATTAAAATTATTTATTTATCTATCCAGCTACAATATATATATGTGTATTTTTTGATTTCATACACTTTTTGGAAGTAAGATTTTCTGATGTTGAACAACAGTAACTTACTTTTCAGTTTATCATTTAGTCTGTCCAGGGATTCCATCAATCTCTGTTCTTCTACTGACAATGCAGACCTCACTGCAATAAACAATGTTATATACTTATATGTCACATACCTATATGGACATGTTATTACCTACACTAATTTCAGCATTCTGTTATGTTTCCTGTAATAATGTACATGTAACTTGTAATATTCAACATGCGTTTTTACTACAAGAATATTAAGCTGATATACATGTATGTGAAAGGATTACCTTTAGGTTGAGGTCTAGCAGAGTTATAGGCAAGTTGTCTAGCTTGAGCCTCCTCCATCGCCTCGTGTATTCTACTCTCTGATACAGACTGTTCCGCTAACTGTTCCGCTGCCAGAAATCCTGCCATACTCTCTGATACTGAAAATAAGCATATTATACTTTGACGTAATCACCTGACGTTTGTTTTTTTTTTAAAGTCTCTTTCTTAAAAAATGAAAAGAATATCCTATAGCTCTGAATTGTTTTTCTCGTCATTAAAACATGGTACAGTTAGGGTTTAGGTTAGTGTATGAAAACCGACAAAATGAAGAACAGAAGCTGTATGTATTCAAGCTTCCATGAGATGTCTGCTCAGCGAATTGATGCCATAAAAGTTGTTAAATATATTGACTGATGGGTTAAACCATGAAAAGCTTGTTAATGTAATAAGACTTATATATGTAAATATATGAGAAATTGATAACCTACCATCAGCACCATTTATAAGAGGCCCTGTTGGCTGAGGTTCTGAATTACTCTGAATAGGAGCCTGATAAACTGTATATCCTTGCTGCTGTTGTTGTTGTTGTTGTCTTGACTTCAAACTGTTTGGGTTAGGTTGTTGTTTTCTTTGTTGTAGCAGACCGTAACGTCTTGTGTATGTATTAGGTGTATTTTCAAGTGAATTTTGTCTGCGTATTGCAGGGTTATTGTTGTTATTGTATCCTGGTTGCTGGGCAACTCTGTTTAAACTGTTAAACTGACCTAATGCATTGCCGTCTATATATGTATGGGCGACTGGAGCAGCCTGACGTGCACTTGCACTTTGACTCTCTGCCTGAGGGGCGTCAGGTGTGGCCTGGGAGTTTCTACTTAAACAAGTGCGTAATTTATCCCACAGAAAGTTAATTTCTTCATCAGTTGGCGTTCTATCTATTCGTACACCATTCTCATCATATACAGCACCTTCATATTTAGAATTATTTCCACCTTGTGACGGACCACTCACACTGCCTGCTGGGACAGGACCAGTCTTATTATAACCAGGATAAATGAAAGGAACACTTTCATTCTTGGGCATTACTATACTTGATACAGCGTAGTTTCCTTTTTGTTGTGGCTGGGTATAACTGACAGAATTGACGGCATACACCGACGCTGGGGCTACAGTTAAAGCAGTCTGATTGGCTCTTGCCATCGCAGGAACTTTCTCCATAAAGTTACTATTGACAACTGTAACTTTCTCGTTTGGATTATCTAGAAGCTGTGTACTTTGTGTAATGATATGTGCAGCAGCCTGGGGTCTAACAACCTGTGTTTTAGCTCGAGGAATCGTGCTTGTACGTACATTTGTGGCACTTGTAGCACGAGGAGGTTTACTGTCTATCTTAGGTGATAAATTCTTTGTTGTAACAGCAGATACTGGGCGAGGTGGCTTGTGATGAACTGAATCTAAACATAGAATTCCTTATGTCAAACATTATAGTAAATTTTCATGTGATAAAATATTGATTCATGTTTTAAAATTACTGTGACTTTTTTTCTCTAAGAATTAATTTGTCATTTAAAACTGTAGTTATTGTTATTAACTTATTTTAGATTTAATCTTTAGATCTACTTTGAATGTTCTTGCAAATGTTGGTATTAAATTGCCCAAAACATTTACCAAGTGATCTCTGCGGGAAAATTATGCAACATTAATTAACAGTCAGTAACAAACAAACAAAATATATTTACTAGATGGACTTTACAAGATTGTGACAACAGTTATTTTAAAATATTAGAACAGTTTGAACATACTTTATTGTTGTAATAACATACCATCATTTCTCTTGTGGAACAGTTTACTGTCACTGTATCCACTAGGCTCGGGTTCATCATATGTTAAATCAGCAAATCTTACATTCTTCTTTGTAGGCTGAAATTACATATAAACTCTTAATTACAGATCATATATAACTCAATATGTTCAATACATAGTGACTGATTAAATAAAATAATTATCACCCTGAAAAAGAAACATAAGTTATTAAACTAGCCTAGTAGATTGGAACAAAGACCAATAATAAGTTTTACTATTTGTATGTTTATATAAACATTGCATAATTACAAATGCATGTTAACATTTATAACATGTGCATATCAAAGGATATTTTTTCTGTAAAATATACTTTTTTAAAGAACAAACAAAACAAACATTTATTTCAGTAGAAAATTTGTTGAAATCACATGCTCCCCATATAAATGCTCCCCTGATATAAAGTATATCTTTACTCTCCTCACAAGAAATATATTGTTAATCATCCCATGTGATATAGCTTTACTCGGTATTTTCCCCACTAGGCTGTACTCTCCCCACAAGAAATATATCATTTAAGGCTGTACTCTTCCCAAGACAAACACATTTTAACCCTTCTGTCTGTATAAAAGGTAAAACTATGATAAGAAATGCTCCTATTGTTCAACAAAGCAGTGAAGTGTATAACAAAGCAAAGAAAGGTGAAATTCTGATTTTCTGATCCAACCAAAGATAAGCAAAATGTTGGAAAAATCAGAAAACATTTAATATACTACAAATTTTCAATAAGTCTCTACTTTTTATAACTTAACAATGATATATGCATGTACCAGTATGAAACAAATGAAACAAAATAAAATAGGTCTGTTTGGGTTACAGGCCAGAAACTGTTTCACGCTATTTCAATAATACCTTTAAGTTTACTAATGTTTCAGGAATATATTTGTTCTTGTCTGTTCACAGTAACTAAATGCAATTATTTCTGCCGCAAGTATTTATATAACACTAAAGAGTCAAATTTATATCCTTCCATCTGAACAAATCAAGTTTGCAAAACAATACAAAGAAAAATATACTCTACCAATACTATATTAGTATCTACCCATCAAAAAATTGTAACAATGTTTTGAATGAGAATAAATTAATGTATCTAAAACATGTAATGATAGAAGATTGGTTTCTATAGTCATTCTTGGATAAACATAACACCATTATACTAATATGTATATTATAACAAGAGGGCCATGATGGCCCTGAGGTCGCTCAGCTGTATATAGGCCCCTGGAGTGGGGCCAGTTTAAACCCAGGGCTTTTATTTGAACAAACTTGGAAGAACACCCATTTAGAAGATGTTTCATGATGTTTAGTTTTTACTACACACATAAAATGAAAAACAATGATCTCTCCGCCCCCCCCCTTCCCTCCCCCTTCCCTTCACTCCCCCCCCCCCCGGCAGGACCAATTTTAACCCAAGGGCTTTTATTTGAACAAACTTGGTGGACACCCATAAGAAGATGTTTCATGCTAAACATCTAAGATCTAGCTCATCGGGTTTTTTAAAAGAAGATTTTTTAAGTGTTTACTATACACATATAGTTAAAAACAATGACAGCCTGGGGTGGGGCCAGTATTGACCCCAGGGCTTTTATTTGAACAAACTTTGTAGACACTTACTAGAAGATGTTTCATGCTTAATATCTAAACTAGCTATTTTGGTTTTTTCAAAGAAGATTTTTAAGTTTTTGCTATACACATATAAGGAAAATCAATGACCCCCCGGGCGGGGCCAATTTTGACCCCAGGGCTTTTATTTGAACAAACTTGGTAGACACCCATTAGAACATGTTTCATGCTAAATATCTTAGCTCTAGCTCTTTGAGTTCTTTAAAAGAAGATTTTTTAAGTTTTTACTATTTGCATATAGGGAAATTCAATGACCCCCTGGGGCGGGGCCAAATTTGACCCCAGGGCTTTTATTTGAACAACTTGGTAGACACTCACTAGAAGATGTTTCATGCTAAATATCTTAGCTCTAGCTCTTTGGGTTCTGTAAAAGAAGATTTTTTAAGTTTTTACTACAAGCATATTGGGAAAATCAATGACCCCCGGGGCGGGGCCAATTTTGACCCCAGGGCTTTTATTTGAACAAACTTGGTAGACACCCTTTAGAACATGTTTCATGCTATATATCTTAGCTGTAGCTCTTTGAGTTCTTTAAAAGAAGATTTTTTAAGTTTTTACTATTTGCATATAGGGAAATTCAATGACCCCCTGGGGCGGGGCCAAATTTGACCCCAGGGTTTTATTTGAACAAACTTGGTAGACACTCACTAGAAGATGTTTCATGCCAAATATCTAAGCTCTAGCTCTTAGGGTTTTTTAAAAGAAGATATTTAAAGTTTTTTCTTTCGGTTGCCATGGCAACCAGAGCTCTGCATGGAGTTAAATTCTTTGAACAATTTTTAAAGGTGACCACCAAAGGAACATTCCTGTGAAGTTTGGATGAAATTGGCTCAGTGGTTTATGAGGAGATGTCATTTAAAGTAAAAGTTTACGGACGGACGCCGGACGAAAAGCGATCACAAAAGCTCAACCTGTCACTTTGTGACAGGTGAGCTAATAAAATCTGTTTATATGTAAAGAAAATAACTGTTCAACAAAAAAAACCTTCAAAGGAGCATTACTTTCATACATTTTCATAAGTTCATAAGCTTTATGTATGAAAACCTTGAAATTTAGGAAAATACCTGAAAACCTTTACCCATGTATTATTATTCAAGTTGATAATCATGACATATGAAATAAATGTAGTATATCAATGAGACACTTGGCATTGTTAAAATTAGCACCTGTCTTCATGTTTATATTGTAAAACATGCAGTTAATACACACATGTCAATATTTCTAAATGTATATATGATTTTATTAATTTATCATTATTGACAATCATTTTATGATGATAATTATGGGATACTAGTGTATATTTCACAGACATATATATAGTGTCATTGATACTTATATAGTTCACTCACAAACACAACAATGGGATATAACTATAGTTTATAACTGTAATATATTAACAATGGATTCATTATTGTCTATTTGAAATGAAGCTGCAAAGAAAATCTTAAAGCAAAATCGAGGAATAAAAACGGGAATATCAATATATTTCCACACAATGTAACTATTGTTGAGAATCATATAATCTAAAATGATGAGTTAAACAGAAACAGCTGATTCCAGACAACTAAATACTTTTTGTAGAAAAAAAAACATACAACCTATCATATTCATGTTGTAAATATTTTATATTTAGCTCAGTCTATCCAGCATTATTTTACACTAAACAGTTTACTTTGATGCTGCATTATCTTTACATTGCTCTACATACATTTTAAAACAACCAGTTAAGATTTGAGATCTGCCTGCATGAAAGCAGCCCAGAGAGACATTTTCATTTATCAAGCAGTCGAAAATGAGTTGTAACTTGTTTTAAAACAACAACTGAAGAACATCAAATTCTGGACGGCCAGAACTACATGTTACTGAAAGCATACAATAAGTAATATCTACATACGGAGAAGAGATAGAAAATATAACTGCTGAAGCAGAAAATAATGCTGTGAATATTGCATTAAAAACTGTAGAGGTGTCAAATTAAACCTCAATTAAATAATCTGTAAGCTTTGATCTGCAGCTACATTTATTTCTGTGAATATCCATTTCAGATCACATGATTCTCCACATTATATAATGTCTGTTAATAATTAAAGCATAATAATGAATCCACATCTAGTAAACAATGATTGTATATTGAAGCATGCATGGTGTCACATACCGTCCCTGCAGGATTCTTAAGTCTCTCCCTCTCTCTTAGCATCTATTTATAGTAACATTTACAATATTTATATATACATAAACTACCACACACATCTACAGATATATAATATACCAGAACAATGATAGTAAAGCTTGATTAATATACAATCAAATACAACAACATACATTCTTCTAGAAGTAGTTTTGTCAACAGAATCTACATATTTTCACACATCCCTTTAATCTTTTTTTCATTTCACTCCTATGAATAAATTGAAATATTGAGAGAAAAATAAACATAATTTTCATTATAAATTTTCAATAACTGTAAATTTCCAAAATGAAAAACTTACATTTTGTTGATACCATAAATAATTCACAAACATTTAAAGGAAAACAATTATTATAATTTGGTATATTCATCATGTCCTGATATGAAAATACAACACTACAACATCATGCTAATCAAACAAACATCGATAAAAAAGTGACTCATCCTTCACATCTATGTGACAAAATAAAGTCATAGTGCCAAACCTTTCCTTTAAATCAAGACAACAGTGCAAAATCTGTAAACATGTATTTACAGTACTCTATGCTCAAATATTTCCATATCTCACTCTACACAGTGCTGACTGATAAAATCAAATGTATTATACAACAATGACATGGACAACCTACCCTTTGTTCCTTCTCTTCAGCACTGGTCTGCAGATGAACACGAGTAATCTCCAAGCTGTCACGTATTTCCTTCATATTGCCCGCAGAACAAGACTTCTTTAATATACCACCAGTCTTCTTGCCACTTCCTGTACGCTTTAAGATACTCCTTACTTCTATAATATTATAAAACAAACATTAGAATAGTTAAATTTTCAATAAAATCTCAATAACTTTTTTTTTTTGATATGCGGAAAATATTATATTAAACATTTATTACATATTAAAGAAAATACAATTAATGCAAGGGCATGAGAAATTTCATCAATGTTCAAAAATATAAAGTATATATTAGAGTATAAAATATATAAGAGTATAAAACATTATCTGAATCAAAAATGCTTTTTTCATATTGACCATACTGAAGATATTCAACAAGTATAAAGACTAAGTTCAAAGAATCATATTTTCTCAAATTCTTTAACCACTTATTTCAACAGACACTGCATGAAACTATTGATTGTACAGTCTATATGAGCCGCGTCACGACAAAACCAACGTTATGCGTTTGCGACCAGCATGGATCCAGACCAGCCTGCGCATCCGCGTAGTCTGATCAGGATCCATGCTGTTCGCTATCAGTTTCTCTACTTGTAATAGGGTTTGTAAGCGAACAGCATGGATCCTGATCAGACTGCGCTACTGCGCAGGCTGGTCTGGATCCATGCTGGTCACAAATGCATTTCGTTGGTTTTGTTGTGACGCAGCTCATATGTAATATTAAAGTAGTTACTGGTACCTTTAGGTTCTGGTTCCCGTTCCTCGCAGATCGTACTGACAGAATCTGTATCTCCCGGATCATCTCCATTCACCATCGGTTCTGTTGTCGCCATCTTTAAATGGGTCGCTAGCTCCTCCGGTAAACCCCATGTCACATTTCCATTTGTTTTACCAGTATCACCATTAGTTGTTACAGTACTAGGTGTATCTTGTTTGGTATTTGTGCCGTTGGTCAGTTGTTGTCTGGCACTATATGCTGCACCGTATGAATTATAATAAGCAGCATGTATTGGAGGTTTAGAATTGGTAACGGACGTTGAAGATGGCCTTGAACCAGCAGAATTTGTTTTCGAAACTTGTGTGGACTTAACATCTGACACACTGGTATCAGTCGGGTTCCTGGAAACTGGCGAGGAAGTTTTACTGTTGGATTGTGGTGTTACAGATAATCCTGATGTTACTGTTTCTAAGAAAGACAGACTTTTCTCTTGCATATTTCTAGGTGGATTTGTGTATTCTGTTCTGTTTATTGTAGAATTTGTGTCAATTAATTGTGTTGCACTAACAATGTTTGTCTGAGGTACACTAGACTGGCGATTATCACTTACTGATGTAGTTGACTTTGAACTTTGAACATTAGAGTTCATCATTGGAACAGTTGTGTTTGTTTGTGTATTTTTACCAGTATATGGACTTGTATGTGTAACAAAGGTTGATGTTGTAGTGGTTACAGTGCTAGCAGGAGTAGGTGGGTGGGGTGAAGGTGTTCCCCAGGCTTTCAACTGAAGGGGTTTTTTCCTTTTAGGTTTTTTCTTTTTTTTTTCACTATCTAAAATACCCCGGGGCCAACCCGTTTTTTGTTGGGCCCAAAATAAAAAAAGGGGAGGGTTGGGTTTCTGCCCCGTTAAACGGTTTTCCCCTTTTTTGTTGTCTCTTAAATTTTGTCCTTTTTTTGGCGGTTTTATAATTTGTTGCTTTTAAAAAGTTTTTGTTGCCTTTGGGTTCTGTTCTAAAGCCCCTTGATCTTTTTCCCGGGTTTTTGTTTTTTTTGTTGCTGGCAAAATTTGTTTAATTTTTGTTGTTCTTGGAAAACTGTAAATTTTATTTCTTTCTGGGCTCCCGGATAAAAACTTTTTTGTTCTTTAAATTTTTTTGATCTTTTGGGTTGGGGTTTTTTTGTGGGGGGCTTGGCATTTGAAGGGATTTATAAGGGGGGTCAATGGGTTTTTTTGGGGTCCCAAAACTTTCTTTTCACCATTTAAAAATATGTGAGTTGTTTCCATATATTTTTATCTCATCTTTACTTTTATCAGCAAACGTCACATTTTTGGCACCATTTACAACATTACTACTTTCATTTTTTTTGCGTCATAAATGCATTAAGATCACAACTTTGACGAAGAGTGTCACTTGTGTCTCCGTCCTCTAGGCTGTCAACTGTTGAAAGACTTTTCACTCCTATCTAATCCATTACCTTCATTTTGTTCGTAATTTATTACATTTTTATCCACTTCTATTTCTTTCATTATCTGTTTATTGAATTCTCGTAATGTTTTTTGTTGTTGTTCAAGCAATGACTGTTGGTACGATTCTAACTGTTGCCTCGAATAAGTTACGACTGTTTGTTTAAGTTACGTAAAACTTTTTATGCAGTTTTCTGTTTGTTGGTAACCATTTCCATTATTGATACTAGGATGGGGATATTTTTGAAATTTTTGGTTTTTCTCAGGGGGTCTTTTAGTTCTGGTCTGTAGGAAAAGGGGGAAGGGAGGGGTGGGAAATTGGGTTTCGAGGGTTCCCAGCCGAGCCTTGGGCCTTTTTAAATGGGCCCGGGGGTAAATCGAACAATTTTTGGGGATGGGCAAGTTTTGTGTGATATTGGTTCGTCCTTTGGGGGACCATCTTCCACCTGGGAAAATATATAAAAAAACATAAAATGACAAAAAAAAAGTTTTCTCATTCCAAAAAAATTTCCCAAAAAACTTAAAAAAAGTTTACTTAATTAAAGGGAAAAAAACCTTAAAATAATTTGGTTTAAAAAAGGGAAACTGGGGAATTTTTAATGTTATTTTTTTCTGGTTTTTTAATTGAAATTTTTCAAAAAGGTTTTTTGTTTAATTTTTTCAAAAAATGGTTAAAATATGTGTAAAAATTTTTTTGATTTAATTTTGGGAAAATTTTTAAGTTTACCCTTTTAATTTTTTAAAACCCTTTAATTTAAATTTCCTTTTTGGGTTTCCCAAACCAAAAGGGTTTCCTTTTTAAAATTTAATATCTTGAATTCTGCAAAAAATCTTTAAAAAAGTAACTGCCAAATTTTTATGTATTTTTAAAAAACTCTTCAAATTAAGTTTTTATTAATATATGAAAGGAAAAATATAAAGTAAAACTATCAAAAAGACAAAAAAAAGCAAAAATCTCAACTTTAAAAATTTAAATACTTAAAATTTTTAGTTTTTAAAAAAAAATTTCCGTATAAAAAAATACATTTCTTGTACTAAATTGTTTTCCCCTTTGGGAAAGGTTTTTACTTTGGTTTTTTGTGACCTTTTCTGGAAAATTTTTTTGTAGCTCTTTTTTTTTTTCTTTTCGGGGTTTTTGGCCCAAAAATATTTTTGTGTCTTTTCTCCTCCCCGTTCAGCCTCCGGGTTTTTTTCTTTACAGCAAAGGGGCTCTGAAAAAAAATGTAAAATGTATATAATTAGGTAAACAATTTAAAAAGATTTTTTAGTAATTGAATTTTCCCTTAAATTTTCATTTGTCGGGTTTAAATTAAAACTAAATTAATACATTTGGGAAAAGTACATTGGGGATTTGAAATTTGTTTTTCCCCCCGGGAAAATATTTTGTTTAAAAAAATTTCCAGTATTAAATTTGGGGTTTAGTGGGTTCAGTATTTAAAGGGGAAATAATCCTTGTAAAAATAAATATTCCAAAGTTGCAACCAGCTTACAGTGTAAAGGACCAACCACCAAGGAAAGATTATTCTGTTCAGAAACTTACATGAACCTGATAAGTAAGAATTACAGCTTTCAATACTTATCCCAGTTTTTATAACTTCATTTTCATATTTCAAGGTTTTCATAGATGACATAAAAAAAACAACAATATATTATAACTAACATCTAATTTTCAAAGTATTTAAGATGAATTTCACCAAATTGGCCACATAAAATTAATTCTTTACACACATGCCACATCCAGGACTTAAGACCTAATGAGTCCCATATAGAACAACTTGGTTACAATTTGCAATGTATAGTATTAAAATCCATGTTTTTAAAAATAAAATGGTATGCTATCATCTCTTGACTTAAACATTCTTTTTTTGCAAAAGAAATCAAATCACTTTTTTATGTTTTCATCGTTATAAGTCATAGTTTTTTACCTTTCATTTTGTGTTAGGTTAATCAAAGATTTGTGTCTGTTGGTGGATTAAAATTAATATAACCTTATTTAAAAACTTCAGCAATTTGTTACAAATCCATAACCCCTTAGTCCTTTCAACTGGGCAAGCCTTTAAAGCTTAATGACCAACTTATCATTGGCAAAAATATTTTAATGAAAAAATGTGGGACACAAAAAAACAACAGCAATTGCATATCTTTCCATGGGCAAAATATAAAAATCCCTTTTAATGTCAAAGAGATTAAATTAATCATTATGTACCTTTGATAATTTTTTAATAGGATGGGTAAATTTTCATGCTTTAAACTGTTGGGAAACATTTAAACTTGAATTTTTAACTTTTGAAAAATCTATTTATTATCAAGTTTTAATTTTGGGAAGGGTATTCAAAAAGATTATTGGGGGTTTGAAAATTTTTAAATTTTTAAAAAGGGTATTTGCTTGGGCCCATTTGAAATGAAAAAAAGGGGTTGAAAAAAGGAAAAAATTGATTGGGTAACAAATTAAAGAAAAAGGGGGTGGGAAACTAATTAAAAAATAAAAAAAATAAAACATGCAGGGGTTTTTACTGGTTTTAAAATTTTTTTAAAAGGAAATTTTTTAAAATATTTCTAAAAGGGGTTTGGGTTTATTTAAATTTTTTGAAATTTTCTAAAATTGGGGCAATAATCAAAAATTTAAATTTGGGGCAAAAAATAATTTAATATATCATTTTTTTGGGTTTTAAAAAATTGAATTTTAATGTTTTTTTAATGGGCCCGTTGCCATGGGGAAAAAGTACCCTGTTTACTTTTTTTTGTCAAGAAAATTTTTTATAAATTTGGGCATTTCTATTGAAAAAAAAAAACATTACTCAACTGTTTTAAATTTCATGTTTTTAATCTATAAATTTTTAAATTTTTAAACTTCTTTGGGGAAATTTTAAAAAACAAATAATTGTATCAAATTTGGGGTAAACTGTAAAAAGGGAATTTTTTAAAAAAATACATGTCTAATTTTTTTTTTGGGGCCTTTTAGGGGAAATGTTTATGTTTTTAAGTACAAAAGGGCACCTTTTGGGCCCCCATTTTGGGCTCTGCTTTGTTTCTGCTTTTCAGGGGAAAATTTAAAAAATGGGGTTTTTTATTTTTTTAAAAGGGTTTTTAAAAAACATTAAACTAAAGTTAAAAAAAATTGGGGGAATTTAAACCCAAAGAAAAGGGTTTATTGTAAAATTTTAACCCGTAAAAAAGTAAAAAATTTTATCAGGGCAATTTTCAATTAAAATGTAGAAAAAAAAAACAAATTTCAACAATTTTTAAAATTTTTAGTATTTTTAAAAACAAACTGTAAACAAACTTTTTAAATGGGGTTTATGAAAAACAAAATTCAGATTTTTTAAAGGGGCATCAAAGATAACCCCGAAATTTAAAACCCCCTTTTTTATAGAGAAATTTTTTGGTTTGATTTAAAAACCCTTTTTAAAAAGCTTAATTTTTATATCAAAATTTAAATTCAAATTTTTTAAAAAAAATAAACGTGGGCCCAAATTCCGTTTCAATTAAAAATTTAACCCCCCAAATATTTAAATTTTTGTACGGGGTTTGGAAAACCGGATGAATACAGGGGTAAAAATCTACATTTTAAAAATAAAACCCCCAAATAAATTAACCCAAAAATTCCTTTTTCTATATGGGGGATTCCTTTTTTTGTATTTTTCCCTTGGGAAAAATAAATTTATATGTAATTAATTAGTAAAGTTAGTAGTAGTGTATAATTTATTTAATTTAAGAATTATGTTATAAAACTAAACTTTCCACAAAAATTTTTTTGGAGATAAATTTTTTTTTATGGCCAAGCCTTTCCATGCCAAGGGAATAAAACATGATATATTTAATAATTTGTTCCAAAATTGGACCATCATAGCTTTTCAGCTGAGATTGGGGCATAAATTATATTGTCCAAAAATGGAAAATATATGTGAGGATATCAAAGGGGAAATAAAATATATTTTAAAGAATCAGTAGCAAAAAATTTCTCGTGTAAATTAATCAGACACAGAATGATTTTAACAATTTCTGTTTTAATGTGAAAAAATTTTGAACGAGTTAAACAAAATTTAATGTACATGTATATGATATAGAAAGATAATTGGGATCCATTACAATATAACAACCAGGGCTAATGGGCTCCATCTGGGTTTTAAGGGACTCCCACTTGAGGATTTTTTGACATGAAAAGAACTGGACATATCTTTCTGGGATTTTTTTTACCAGGGTTAATGTCAAACAGGTGGCTAGTTGGCATTTGGGGATTTTGACCTAAAAATGTTTTGGGACTTTGGGTATTTATTCAATAAAAAATATCAATAAAATTTTTAAAAAAAAAAAAATTAAAAAAAAAAAATTTTTTTCACTGTTATATTATTAATTTTGGACAATAATAATATAACAAAGTTGAAATTTTTTTTTTTAAATTTTTTTTTTTTTTTTTAAATATATTTATTTTATTTGGAAATAAATTTACAAGTCAAAACATTTTTTTAGGGTCAATCCCAATGCAACTGCACCTGGTTAATGTAGGGACAATAAGAGGCCAGTTTTGTCAAGATCATTCCCTCTCCCAGTTTTTTTCCTTTAAATTGGAAAAATTTTTTTTTGCAAAATTTGACTTCAAAACTGTAAAGCAATGGCAATGCCCTTTCAATTCAAAATAAGGGGTTTAAGGGACGCCACTGAGGTTTTAAAGGGCCAAAACACATTAACATTTGAATTTCTTAAATAAAATTGAGCTGGGGCAATTTAAACAGAAATATATTGCAAAAAATAGTTAAAGGGAAATAAATTTTTAAAAATCGTATTTTTTTATGCTTTTGGGTTAGCCCGGGCTCATTAAACTTTCATTTAAGGAACATGTCAAAAAAACAACAATGGGTTGATTACTTAAAGTTAACAAACAGAATTTTTTTTTTGGGACTGAAATGCCAAAGAAATGGAAACAAGGAAAAGCCAATTATTTGTTGTAACTCTTTTGTGTAAGAAAGGGCCCCAAAGGGTTTCTTTAAAGAATTGGGAAGTTCGGAATAATGTTTCT